GGCCTATTGGTTGATGCATAATCAACTGAATTAATTTGAAATATTAACTACACAATATGGCTTAAAGGAATTTTCCCCTCCATTGTCTTTCTAGCCACGCCACTGAATTCAGTACCAGCCTTTCTCTCTTGTGCAGTTAAAAGCAAAATATAAATAAATCCTCCATTTTCATATTATATGCATAGAATACACCAGTAGGAAGAACGGTTTGGATGTGAGCTACATTCATGTTGAAACAAAAAACCCTTCGCTATAATACATTTTTTAAGCGGTGGTTCCTCTCTCTTTAATAGAAGAAATAAATTTCTGCAAGGAAGCATATGAACTGCCAGAGAATTCTAATAATAATTTAAGTCTTAAATCAGTATTTATATATTCTCTTTGATATATACCATTGGAATTCCTTCCCTGGGGATCTACAAACAGACTTATCAGTGTTGGCTGTGAGAAAAATATTGAAAAGACATTTTTGTCTGCATTTGGCTGAACAGAACTTGACTTGGGGAAACAAAGATCTTAAATCGCCCCCTTTTAACCCCAATCTACCTCCCAAGATTGTTATAAAGATCAAACGGGGGTAGTGTGTGTGAGAGAGAGAATCTTCTCACCAAAGGAAAAGTAGGATTAGAAGTAATATTCAGAGACCAGGTTGGAAACCAGCGGAAGGGACCCGTTGTGGAAAGGTCTTTTACTAAGGACAAACTTGGCCAACACAAGTTCTTACAAGAGTCTATGGTGACTGAACGAGACCCTAGAGCAGAAAAGCGCAGAAAAGGAATTTTATGAGCGTTTACTAAGATATTTTCATGGTGACCTTGAATCGCACTGTACATTTCAAGCAGAAGCAACTTCTACCCATTGAAATATTGGCCTGATGCCTTTGGGAAAGTGAGCAGGTTCTTCATCTTCCTCGTGTAGGTTTGCAGCTTTTGGGTTGAACCTGATCTGGACCAGCTTCTTTCGGCTCCAGATGAACCCTTCCATTCATCCAGCCTTTCAGAGACCTCCATGGAATCCTAGACCTCTTTCCTTAGAAGAAGGTCTGACAATACACAGCATAATTTATTGTCATCCCAAAATGTCCTACAGCAGTGGTTACAGAACATAGAACGGTGATTTTATGATTGCTTGAGCTGCATCATTGTTAAAGATGATAAAACCATATTGTCTGATCTGGGAGTTGGCCAAGAGCTTCCAGGCTAAAGAAAAAGAAAAAGCAGAAACGCAATGCCGATGTGACAGCAAAAACCTCTGGAAAACAACATTTAGATGTAATTTGGTTCTTCCTGCTAGTCATCCAAGGCCAACTGACTAAAGCAGAGCAGAGCAGAACATTCCCATTCCGCCAGTCTGCAGGATTTGCCCTTTTTAAAAACAAACAAACAGGCAGGCAAGATTTGGTGATTCCCTTCTGGGTCGAAGGAGGCCTGGCACCTCCAAGGGCTCCGATATAGACCCCTCTCCAATCGGGCAGGGCAGGCTACTCCTCACCAAACTTGGATAAATGTTCATCTTCAGCCATCTGGTCCCTGCTTAAATTTTTAACCACCTCTCACTTGGAATACTTTCCTGCCTTTCTTTATATTCGTTTTAACTTAACAAATTGGCCATAAGCTAAACGGCACCATCTGTGGCTCCCAGTAAATACAACTGTTCTTAATGAAATTACTCAGCTTTATCATTTTGCTTCAGAGCCTCCTGCCTGCTTTGCTGAGGACCTTTTCACTGCTTGCCATCCTCCGTTCACAGGCTTCAGAAATTTGGAAGCTCAGCCATCTAGATCGGGCGCTGGGAAATTACTCTCGGCACCCAGCGTGCTCAGCAGGGCAGGATATCAGGCTTAGCATTTCTCCTGCTCCAGAGTTCAGGGCGAGGCTCCGTTTGTATCAAGCTCCGGAGCAGGGCCCTGTCTTCTCATCCCTGGGTCACTCTGCCTTCTGGCATTCTAGGGGAGACATGATAAAGGATTCCAATATTCAAGGGGCTGACACAGAGAAGAGGGGGTCAACCTGTTCCCCAAAGCACCTGAAGGAGAAGAAGCAGACTAAAGGAGAGAACCAAGGAGAAATTTCCTGAGAACAATTCATCAGTGGAACAGCTGGCCTCCAGAAGTTGTGGGTGCTCCATCACTGGAGGTTCTTAAGAAGAGATTGGCCGACTGTTTGTCTGAAATGATAGAGGGTCTCCTGCTTGAGCAGTGGGGTGGACTAGAAGACCTCCAAGGTCCCTTCGCACTCTGTTATTCTGTTCATACTCCCTTGCCCTTTGTTGGCCTGGAAACCCAATTGAGCAAAGTACCCACTTCCTCTCCTTCGGAGCACAGCTACACGGGGTTACTCTGATGTGGGGAAATTAAAAAGGACTTTGTTAAAAGGAAAACGTCTGCAAGGAAAAAATGAAGCTCAGCGATCATCGAGGACCCCTTATTGTTCGCTTGTTCCCCGAGAGGGAGAGGAAGCACAGAAAATGTTTTCACCAACACTAGAGCTTCCCTGAGATTCCTTCTTGCAAGCTGGTTCCCCAAATAGAAATCCCCCCCCCCTTTTCCTGTCTTGGTCTCCTTTTATATAGATACTCTGGATGGAGAGCAGTGCAACAACTTTTCCTAACAGAGAGGTAAAGCTTGAATCCAAACCCTGCATTTTTCTAGAACAGAAAGATTTCTTCTGAGATTTATTAAAAGCAACAAGGCTGAACTGGCTTTTTGGCATGAAACCAGAGAAGTTAGGATGCATAAAGTACCCCCGAAACCACCCCCAAAGAACTATCCTTCATTATTTCCTGATGTTCACAGCTATGATTAGGGCTGGTCAGTGACTAACAGGTGCAGCCAACCCAACGTCACCTATAAAGGGTGATTTTTAACAGCAAAAGATAGTAGGAACCTTCTAATCGATTGCAGCTTCATCTCCCCTTAGGTGTAAAACAAAGATGGGTTTTGACAACTCCTTCCAGCTATAGTGGTTTAAAAAGGTCTGCCGAGATAGATGTTGGCTTCCTCTCTTCACACAGAGGAACGGTTCTGAAACACCTAAGAAACACCTGTTCAGCTCTTCTGTCAACAGGTTGCAAACCTTGATGCAATTATAGCTACCTAAAGTGAAGAAAACCTGGCATAAGGTTATACGTCGCTCAGGGCAAGCACAGGTGGATGAAACTGTCGGAAAAACAAGGATTTATGTTTGGCCGCAAGAAAAAAGAAGACAAAGAAGCAATCAGGTGTTGCGGCCCCAAAGTGAGTGGAACAGCTGGTCCTACTGGGATGAGATGGTCAGCTGAGGCAGGTTGGAAAGAGCAACCACAAGGCCATCTGCCGACCAGAGGACTTTGTCCCTTCCGGCCACGGCAGACCGGCTTCCACAAGTGCAAGCAGCACCTGAGCAAAGGATGAAGGTGAAACCAAGTTCAGGCAGAAATAAGCTGGTCTGTGTTCCAGTTCAAAAGCGTGCATCTATCACATGTGACCATCCTAGGATGGGTTTCTCAGGACCAGTCTTTGCTGATGAAAGATTAGTGACCAGAGACCATCGAAATGGAGAGCTAATGACGGTCTCTTGGCCTACTCATAATTCCAGTGTCATTCACATTTTCTGCCATTTTTCTCTAACCTTGGATCCAGACGAATCCACTCCAATCCAGCAAGCTTTGGTGTTGTCCCAGATAGCTGGAGCTGACGCCAAAGGCCTCTACACACGTCATCACCACAAAGATGCTTTAACCAGGGGTGGGTTCTACTTACCTTTACTACCAGTTTGCAGCGGGAACATGCACATGTGCTTCTGCACGTGCGCAGATCACCCATGATGACGTCGTGGCAGGTGGGTGGAGCTTCCCGCCTGTTTTACTATCGGTTCTACAGAACCGGGAGCAACCATCACTGGCTTTAACTGTCCTTATGTGGGCCTTGAGTAGGAATCGTGAGAAGCAGCAAAGAGGGGAAGCCTGCCCTTCAGAGCCATTAAGCTGCTTCTTTGCATATAGCTTTAGGTAGTTGGTCTGGAAAAGTCACCACTCTAGGATAATTGCAGCCCCAGCCTAATATTTCCATCCGTCTTGGGGCACCAGGTCCTTCATCACCATAGCCGTGGAGCTCAACTTTTCCATGGCTGGCTGGGGAATTCTGGGAGTTGCACGTCCGCACGTCTTAACGTTGCCAAGATTGGGAAGCCCTGGCCTAAGCAAGAGAGCCACTGACTCTGGTGCCTTCCATCAGCTGCTCTTCTGGCCCCTCTGGCTGCCAACAGACGACCCATGGTCTGTGTCCTTCCAACTTCATTTGACCCACGGAATGAAGAGAGTGACTACAAGACCCCTTCCGAGAGGATTGGAACCCGATTCTCTCTGCCACGGCATGAGCGGCCCCCATTTTTATCCCCCTCACAAAGCCCGGCTTCCTTTGCTAACTTCACAGTTTGGGAGCAACTTTGGATTGATGACAGGTTTGAATCACTTGTAGGATAAATGTCAGTAAGTGAATAATCTCTAGCTGAAGGCAAAGCCGGGGGCGCTCGGAAATGCTGATGCTGCTGTTGAGGGGAAAAACTTTTGCAGCATATTTTGAAGTAGGACGTTGTGTTTCAAGATCACATGCTGTTTACTCACCAGATTCCATCTTAGGGTTATTTACCTGACTATCTTTTAAGCAATTGTCACATTATCTCAATAGTTTGACTAATATTTCTCCCCACCCCCCACCCCCAAATTCTTTTCTTTAACGGGCAAAGGAGTTTTGCCTCAGAACTTTAGAGGATATGAAGGTTTTGCATTCAGCGCTGAATTCTGCACCCTTTCTTGAGAAATTACTGTACAAATTCCAGAAAGGTAAATTCCAGAAAAAGCCCAACCCTCCCCTTTAGCTCAAAGCAAGCACCCATCCCTTCCCCTTCTACTCCCCACCAGCAAAGGTCGGAGAACTTGGTTTGCCCACCATAGATGGGAGGAAGGAGGCCGAGATGGCCCTGTTTCCAGTTGAACCCTCAGGTCTGGAGGAGACGACCGACTTCAAAGAGGATCTGCAGTTTATTAAACTCTCTTCTCTGGATTAATGGACAGCTCGAAGCCCCGAAACTGCCAGCCCATCACATTTCCCAGGCAATTCTCTGTATGGAAGAGAAATTTAAAAATAAGTATACAGAAAGCAGCCTTTCTTCTAGGGAAGAAATTCACATAAGAAGCTTAACTGAACTGTTCTTCAGCCCAGGAAGCTTACATTGGGCATTCCTCTCTCCCGACAGCTGCACAAAGTCCCAAACTAGAAAGATTTACTTGCGGTGCCAGCAGGCAAGGATACAGCAGGGCTCAGAAGTCACTTCCAACATTGCAAAGTTAAGAAAAAGGCTGGCAGGCCAAACGTTAGGGCAGATGCAACATATTAATAGCAAGTTTGGTGAAGTTAAAAGGGCCCTTTTCAACCAAAGGGGGACTTTTAGCCAAATATTACTCTGCACCTCTCGCCTTCTCAACAAAAGGAAAGAGACTTGCTTGGAATTTCATTTGACACATTTGAAAAATTACAGCTTGCAAATAATTTACTTTTACACAAAGCCACCCATGCTCAGAACAGGAAGCGTCAAAGGAAAAGGACCAACCATTGCTGGCCTCGGGAGACAACCGAAAGAGAGAGGAAGTCTGACTCCCGGCCTTTCTGCTCTCAAACTGGCCCAGGAAAAGCACCGTCTGCCCTCTTCCATGGTCACGGAAGGGGTCTCTGGGAAGACGGGGCTTCATTGCCCAAGCACACAGGGGCGAGATTTTGAGGTTTGGCCGTAATAAACATCACATTAGGAACCCAAACTCCTCCTTTCCCATCACAACCGCTCCAGCCCAATCGTCTGGAACTGCAGGGACAAGCAGATGCCATCTGCACTCTGGGAACATGATTGATCTTTTTGGGGGTCACCAAAAGGGACTAATAAAAATGTATTGCCTCGGAGGCAGGAGAAGTTCAAAGCCACATAGGGCCCACAGGAGGCTACTGTGCTCCCGGATCTGCCCCGAGCCTCCAGTTGGCGCCGTAAACAATGGCACCGAGCGCCAGCTGCCATTGATCACTCGCTGGAGCTGGGGAAGAGATCTTTCATCATTGTCTCGTTGAGAAAAATCCCAAAATTAAGATGGATATCAAGGTGTCACGGGTGGAAGAGTCATTAAAGGTGCCACTATAAGAGTCATTAAAACTTGGGCATTCCAGCAGACCAAGGCCTGGGCACCCGGGCTCTTTCCTCTCTCCTTGCAATTCCGAAGGTCTTGGCTGGGCTGCCTTGTTAGAGGAGAGGCGGCACCGAGTCTTTTGGCTTTTAATTAGAGCGAGCCTCCTGCAGCCTTGCCTCACCTGAACCCTTTGGGGGCTAGTTTATCAAATGACAGAAGAATATTGTTTTCCCCAGAACCCAAAACTGAAGAAAAGTCTAATTTTCCTTTTTTAAATTCTGTAGTAGCCAACGGGCAGGACAAATCACAGCACCAAGAGATGGAAGGGCGAAGTTGGGAGAAGAAAAGCAGTGGTGACAGGTAGTTTTCAGAAGCAACCGAGATGGAAAACAAGCAATAAAATGACTATTAAACAGGTTTCCACTTCACGTGACCCGGCCATCTGGAAGGATGTTTTGGGAGCAAATCAGAAATATATTGACGTAGGTACATGCTAAAATGTAGACATCACAACTTGGATTACAATCTGGGTCCAAATTTCTGTGCTGGACATTGCAGGCCAAGTGATTTAAGAACACAAAGGCTTTGTTGCAACAGACCAAAATCTATTTAATCCAGCATTTCGTTCCCATCGTGGCAATGAGACGTCTTTAAAAATGCATTTTTAATTTAATGCAGCCTTTTGCATTACCTAACCCTTGCAACACACACCAACACACACACACACACGTCTGAACTCTGTCTTCCCCCTGCCTGGCTTACATGCCCCAAAATTATTTCTGTCTGGGAGATTTAGAGAGAGCCTCTGAAGGAATTATGCTAGGTATTGACTGGTGGGAGGCATGACATATAAACAGGTATAAACGTTATTAATTATTGTTCATAAATTTCTTCAGAAAAGGATGTAAAAAATCTTGACATTGAACATACAAAATAATTTCTATCCCTGGATTTTAAACAATGACAGGGCCCGAAAACTTTTTAAAATATATTTCTGGCTCCAGAACTCTTGTGAAAATGCTGGCGTGCGACTGCAGCCGGCACAGCTTTACTTATGACAGACCCTCCCAGCCTGCATCACCCCTCTATTCAATCAAAACAGCAGCGACCTGGAGGACTCCACTGTGAGGATCCAGCTCACCTGCTGGATGCCAGAGCGCATGCATAATACATTAGGCAACTAATTATCTTACGGTCTCTACCTGTACACCTTGGAAAGGCATACCTTACTCTTAAGAAGGGTTGGTCTTATGAATATTCAGCTGCCTGACCCGTTTCCCCCGTCGTCATCGTCCCCCATTTAAGAAAAGACGGGGTGCTGAAGCATCTTGGGGCAGTTCAAAGACTAATAGATTGATTACTGAAGAAGCCCCCAGGGGCTCTAGCCAATCAAAGGTTGCATCTCTCTTCACAGACTAACGCAGGTGATCGTCCTTGGCTTCCTTTTGCCCCTTTTCCCTGGCAGCAGCTCAGGCTGCACGGCAATGTAAACATACCAAATACTGCCTAAGTGGTTCTCTGGTACTTTGCATTTCATATTAAGTAAAAATCTATTTCTGCACCTGATGAAAATGCACGGAAGGTCTCCTGGCTGCTGCACCAGCATTCAGACTCGTTTTCCGAGACCCCGTGGTCTCACGCCACTTCCTCTGAATATTTATGCACATTTTAGATGTGAAGAGGTCTTCAAGAAGAGCTTCTACGAAGGGAGAGTGGCTCAGAGACGAGTGCAGCCGTACCAAGCATCCCAATGCCATTTGCAAACCGCGCTGGGCCTTCTTGTCCAGGGCCAAGTGTACAAGTGCTCCAATGGGGTCACGCGGTTTCTGCAGCCTTGTGGACGTCTGGTTTCAAGGAACTTCTTCCTCAAACAGCAGCCAGTGCCTTGAGCTTTATCCACCTCCTCAGTCTTTCAGCAGGAGCCCCTGGGAACTCAGAGATGGCCTTTTCTTTGAACTGTGGAAAACAGCTGGCATTCAGACTGTGCAATTTAGCCGGCTAATAGTTATTATGTGCCCGGCCCTCTTCAATTATTTCTAAAGTTACTTACAAGTCAAAATAGATGCCGGGATTCATTTACTTTTCATTTGCTTGCCAGCTTTACAAATTCTATCATCTTATCACTGATAGTTTCATCAGATGAGTTTTATTTTATAAAAATAAAATCTATCTCCATTACCCCAATGACTTTTCCATTCCTTCCTTAAATTTTTTTCCAGCTTTTAAATTTGATTCAGTAATGTGCCATGTACTATTTTTCAGCCTTTAAACTTGTCAACAAAAGTCTGGGAATAAAACCAAACAATTCTGACGTATCGGTGCTAAGATTTTTAAAGTTATCGAACACTCTTCTGGAGAAAGCCCAGATGGGAAGGCCTGGGAAAAAAATGGAAAAACTTGGGGAAACCCGGGGTTTTCTAAAGCCATCTGGAAAAAAATGGGGAGGAAACTCTTTTCCCCCCGCCCCCAATTTTTTGGGTTATTTTCCACGCCTTCCCATCTTTAGTCCAGACACAGGTACTTCTTGTGTGCAAACACAAGAAGTGAAGTTTTGTAACTACTACACACAGGCCTTGTGGCTTTGTACAACTTGTTCTTAGCATACAGCAGAAAGGCTGACCTATCGGCTGTAAAAATAAGGAAATGCTACCCCCTTGTGGAAAGCAATCCAACCCGATTTCAGAGGGTTTGACTGATGACTCTCAGCCGCGCATCCCTTTGCAGATGGAGTGAATTGTGCAGCACAATTAACATTCTTCGATGGTATCACAGAAAGAGTTGCATGTAAAATATTTTTATTTGGCAGTATATAATATACGTAACAAAAGTAAACACAGAAAATAGTACATTTTATATGACCAACAGCCAAACTTCCTGAGTGAACTAGGTAAGTTTGAAGATATCTACCTGCTAACTCTGATCTGGCCATAATAGTTTGTTCCTCATTTAAAGTTCTAAATTAGAGCCTAATATTATTTAGGCATTGATCCTGCTATTTTGTAAATAACATGTTTGTGCTATTGTGTTTTGCTTGAGGCAGTGACTCTACTGTAATTTGACTGTAACTGCTGACATATAAATCTGTATCTTGCTCATTGCAAACTCTTTGGCACGGAAGGATTATTCTGGGGTGTAAATTGGCTGTGCTGAGACTATAAATGGAGCTAAAAATATCCTTAACCAGTTCTGGCCATGTTGATGTTAATGCTAGCATGTTGTGGGTATGAAGGTGCTACCTAAAACAAGTGTGCAAAAAGAGAGCATCCCCCCCCCCCCGATACAAATAACTGGGCTAGGAAATACTGAATGTTGAGCAGAAATGCCTGTGTGGCAGCCCATATGATTTACTACGTTGCCTCCAAAGAGGACTTTGGCAGGAATAGTACAGATGGAGGAGTCTTTCTCAGAGGGGTTGAGCCACCCAGGGTCCGATCCCTGGCAAGCACCTGGGTGTTGCTGAACTCCAGCCTAAAATTCCCTGGAGGAGATAAGGGAGATAAGGGAGCCAAGAGTCGGGCGGAGTTGAGGGAGGTGGGCTTTCAACCTTTGCATTTGGTGGTGAGAGATGCAATGTGCCAGGACCCTGAATCGGTTCCTTCTTTTAAGCCTAGGTATTTTTTTGTATATATTGTCGCCAGAGAATCTGGTGGAAATGTGAAGAACATTTCAAAAAGAGAATTTATGATCTAAGCCAAATGTTCATTTCTGTATCACATAAATCTAAATAAGAGTAATGAGCATAATTAGGCATTATTTACTGACCAGCATGAAGAAAGAACATCTGTCCCTGATTACAACTGCATGGCTATCATCCACTGAAGTCCCTGGAATCTTCTGCATTACAAAAATCTCCCCCTGAGTAGACCTGATAGGAGGGTCACGGAAAACTTATTTTCTGTCAAAGGCAGTAGAAATGAATTTTAATTCATTTAGTAAAAGGGGATTTAAAGCAGAAGGAATTTCGGGATTTTTTCTTTGGGGTCTCGATTGTCAAGATTTTTTAAAAACACACCCACAACCGACTGCAATCTAGATAGAGTAAAGCTGAGGCCACACACGGATTGTTCCCCCAAAGACATTTCCTGAAGGAGGGGCTGAGCGAAGGCCCCCCGTGTCCCAGTCACGTCCTGGATGTGCTTCTTTTCAGAGAGGCTTGCTTCACCAGGGTCTGCTGGTGCCTGCTGGCTTCAGCCGCATCGATGGCTTGACACGTTCTCTGCAAAGTGGCAGAATGTAGCAATTAGAACCCCTTCCTGAAAAAATGAGCAACTTTTTCTTGCAAAGATAGAAACACCCATCTCTGGGCTGCTGCTGCCATCTTCGACCAAGAGTTGGCACAATGAGGATGACCCAGGAAGTGTTACAGGTAGACCTTAGCGATTGTCCAAAGCTCCGACAGACTCACCTGGGGAGTATTTGCAATTCTAATTCACAGTTCCGGAGCTCACCTCCCCCCGGGGGTCACATGACCCGCACGTCGGGCGCTCGGCAACTGGGCCATTTCCAGTGACTCAATCACTTGACCATGGTTTATGTCAGTTTTGCTGAAAACTGGCCTTTATGTCTGGTTTTCTGCAAAACTGTGCCCGTCGCCCATTTTATGACCATCGTCAGTTACAACTGTGATGGGCAGGATCCATTTTGCTTGTAACTGGAGGACGAGCTGAGATTTGAGGAAATGCCTCTGCCTATCTACCTCTGAGACTCGATGCTCATGATCCCTGTCGCTAAGAAAGTGTCCGAAGTGACCAGGATAGTGACCCAGGGAGGCAAGGGTCATCCCTCACACCCCAAAAAGGACATTTTCTAATTAAGCAAAACCTAATCTTCAGTGTGGAGGGTAGAAAACCAGATTCCCCTGGACATTGCCCTAGAAAGACTGCAGACCAAACGGGGCCTTAATGTCCTTGCCTGAGGAAAGACTGCAACGTACAAATGTCACTCGGGAAGCTGTGAAATAACCTTTCAAAGGCAAAGACCCAGGACAGTCAGCGCCAAGCTTCTGCCACGGCTGAATCGTTAGGGGAGCCTTACCTTTGCGGCAGCCACGTCCGGTAGTCGGATTTTCTTTATTAATTCTTGTCCCGAACTCTCCTTTTTGGAGAATGGCAGAATCCCTTTGTCCTGTTAGAAATGGCATAAAACACTGAGTTCCTGTTTAGGAACACTAACCCTAAAGAGGAACTTAGTAGGCAAGGAATAGAAATTGCATGGTGGCCACAAATGCAAATACAATCGCGTTATGAGAAAGATGCAAAAATGTATGGCTTTAATAAAGAACCAACAGAATTAGACCAGATATTAATTGGAAGAGATGATAAAGTGATAAAGAAATTATATGGTTACTTATTGAGCATCAAATTAGGAAGTGAGCAGGTAAAGGAGACAATGATTGCTTTAGCAATGCTTGCTAAAAATTTGGGACACGCAATGGAATTAGATAAATGGCAGAAACTATGGGATAGGAATGTAAAAATGACAATGTCAACCGCATATAAAGAAAATCTGTATAAAATGTTTTATAGATGGCACTTTGCACCAGCAAGGTTGGCTAAAATGTATAAAGACAGATTAGCCAAATGTTGGAAATGTAACCAAACACCGGGTTCATACTCCCACATGTGGTGGATGTGTCCCAAAACTAAAAAATATTGGTGGAAAATACATATCTCGCTGGAAAAAATGACAAAGAAGGATATTGAACTGAGATCAGAGACATTTTTGTTGGGCATCCTACCAGAAAAATACGACAAAAAGACTACATATTTGATTTTACATGTACTGACTGCGGCTAGGATTGTATTTGCGCAACAACGGAAGTGTGAGGAGATCCCATCAGATGAGAGGGTGATTCAGAAAATAATGAAATGCGCAGAAATGGACAGATTAACACTTATTATTAGGGACAGAGAAGAAACTGAATATTTTCTGACGTGGGATGTATTTTATCAATGGCTAGAGAATAGACACAGAAGTTAGGAAAGAGGAGATGTAAGAAGAGAAAATGTTACTATGGAGAGATGTTTATGATGATGCTATGTATTATTATAAATTGTTATAGAGTTATACTATCAATGCTATTGTAAAGAATACAACAAGTAAGCGAATTATGAATTTTCAAATAACTGTACCCAGTTCACATACTGTTTGATGGAGATGAAAAGTATGATATATAAAATAAATAAAACTTGGAGGGTGGGGGGGAGAGAAATGACACAAAACACTTAAAATATTCAACTATGTATCAGAAAAAGAATCAGAAGGTATTTCTGAGTTTGCCTGATTTCATCTTGGAACTCCTTCACATCCAAAGTTAACCCCTCTGTTGTTTTTGCCCAGAGAGTCTTCCAATACTTGAAGACATTTATAAGGGCATAAAGGGCCATATTTTTCCAGCCATGTCTTCTACTGAGAAGGACGGACTTTGGTCTCTCTTTCAGAACAAAGTCAGATTGAGCTCCTTACCTTACTATTTCCAGGAGTAAAATTATTACTTATCTCACAAAAGGAGATGCGGCATTAGTCTACCACTCCACTAACAAAATCAATACCGCAAGGTTAATTCAAAATATATCCTTGAAACACAGTAGAGGTTTTGGTTCTGGATTCGTGTTGCTCTAACTAACAAATTTGTCTGCTGATTAATAATAGCTGTTATGCTTTGGTCAAACTTATTATGCCGAGATCAGACTCTCTTACCTTAACGAAGATTTGCAGCAGGTTTTCATCTGTCCTGGGGGGTCGTGTAAAATCTTCATATAAGTAATCCCAGTCTGTGGTCATGTGACCTAGGATCTCCACTTCTTTCATTAAGATGACTCTCCTGGAGTGACCAAAAAGTATTTTAGGACTTCCCTTTCAGAAGGAACAATCCACAATGGGTCCGAGACCAAGGCATTTTAACTTGAATGAAACAATCCTGTTCCACTAAAGAATAAATGTAGAAAACCCCTCTCCCCCCCCCAAGAAAGCCCCAATTCTATTTGTGGAGAGGCTCAGCTTAATTGCAAAGCACAATCCTGCTTTGCGATGATTCCCAGGCATCCTTCCACTACTATCAACATAAGCTTCCGCTGAAGTCTACTCAGCCAGCTCAACTCTTTGCAGAGCCAAAGCATCTGCCATCTCCTTCAATAAGGTCATGAAGAGAGGACATGTCAGGGAAGTATCTTTCAGAATTAGGCTCCCTAGACCAGGATTTTGCAACCTTAAACACTCAAAGAGCCATTTGGACCTGTTTCCCACAGAAAAGAAAACACCGGGAGCCACAAAACCCTTCCCGTGCCTGACTATTTCTTGAGCGGCCACAAAACTAGCTTATGTAGTTGAATTAAATGTTCTGTTTTCTTCTGAAACTTTTCTTTTCTTGGATTTATCCATGGTTGGCCTACTGGGGGTTGAAAAGCTTAATAAATTGCATGCAGGCAGGTGTCGCACATTGGCGGTTGTGATGCATATTTTGAGTGACAGGGAGCTGCAGCAGAGGAGTGAAAGAGCCACATGCGGCTCCAGAGCCACAGGTTGCTGACCCCTGCCCTAGACTGTTAAATTCCAGGATGAGTGGGGAAAAACTCCTTCCAATTTGCTGGCCTGGCCATACCTGCTGGTGACCACAATGTAGGTCTTTCCTCTTCCTGGGATTGGACAATAGTGCTGGAAACTCTCGGCCTCCAGCTTCTTGATGTGGGAGTTCTGGAGAGGAAGTAAAAATGCTTCAGATTAGATCACAGCTGCAGTGTTTAAACTCTTACACAAGGCACGACTGGCTTGTTCTGGACTGACCTCCCTCCCAATGGAGCCCCATCTGAGATGCAGTGAAGGCAGAGTGAAGTGGAGCCGCAACTGAGACTATCTGGAGGCCTTCAGTCCTGAGCCAGCAGAGAGCAGGGCAGGGTGAAGGGAGCAGCCACATGGGCTGACGAGAGAAGAACAAAAGTCTCCCATGAAGTTCAAAGATGCCACTCGAAGGAAACAGGAGGTGAAGCCCAATTGCCCCCCCCCCCACTTCCCTCTGCAGCTGGGATGGGCAATGAGGTTCCCATCCAGATGTCTAGGAGCCTGACTTCTTCCTCACTGGCTATCTTGGTTGGGGAAAACAGGTGTTGAAACTCTCTCTATCCGAAAGACGACTGCAGATTATCGGCCCCTTCTCAAAACAGGGGCCCAATTCTCAGGGAAAGTGGCAGAGGATACAACTGTCACTCACCTTCAAAAAAAAGGTTCTCACAAGTTTAGGTACAAAAAACAAAATTTTAATTCACCAGTTCATAGCATTATGTACACACTTCTGCAACATTACAAATTGAACAACAATATGAAGTGGGAAATATTACCAAGAACTCGCTTTATTTGGGGGAGGGGGAGGAAAGCCTTGTTGAGAAAGATAAGGCTTCTCTTCCATTGAGAGGGAGGGCAGCTCCACAAAAGAGGAGGGCAGGCAGGGGCCATTATTCTCCCTCTGCTGCTCTGGGTGGGCAGCTGGGGCTACTTGCTCTCAATATTAACCGGATTTAGCACATATTCTGGGGGAAGAATTGTTTCATTATCCCCAAAACATCTGCAATAAGGATACACTGTCTCCCAACATAATTTGTCACCTTTAAATCAATGTAGCAAAACCATGCATTGAAAGGAAATATATACGTTTGTAAAAACGTTAAAATAAATACATGTTTCTGAATACATCCTTCCTTTTCAGCATCAAGGCACAGGTGTAACTGTTGGAAGAGAATCAGCTGACTAACCTGGACAGGACTCTTAAGATACCCACTATCTACAAAGGGACCTCTGGGTGTTAATATAGTTTGAAATGGTCAGATTCCCTAACAAACATTCTACGGTAGTAGATGTTCCAGTCAGATTTTGATGGAAGATTGATTGTGAAACTACAAGTCACACAAGTTTCTGACTTAGGGTCCCCAGGAAGACCCCCAAAATATCCACCCACAGTAAAATATACGTAGCTGGCTATTTTTATCTATGTTGATGGTGAAAGGACAAAACTTGGGTGAGATCATCATGGCATCTGTGCTGCCTTTTTTGAGCATATGTTGTGACCTTGTACACAAGTATGCCAAACACAGTGCACATTTCGCCACCTGCCTGGGGAAGCCAGTGCAGAATGAGATGCTCAGGACACGCCAGTGGTTTTATTATAAGACCCTCAGCCAGAGACCCTCCTCTTTGCATATCATAAAATGATGTTCCGCAATAACTCTCACAAAAATGTCTTTGGTCTCCGTTACAAACCATTTAGGAAGAAGGGTCTCCTCCCCAAAGGGGAGTCCTCTCTCTCCTGGCCCCCTTTCCTATCTCGCTCTCCAGCCGCTTCCTATCCAGACCCCCCTTTCCTAGCAGCTCACTACTCTTGGCATTAAGAAACATTTGCCCCGACATTCGAAATGAAGACTATCAAAAGTATTAACAAATGCAAAGGCTCAGTGACAACCACACCCAACTAGTGGATGTCTCCGGAATTAAGTCTTTTACATTTAAAGCAAACCAAGGCAGATAAAGATGGTTAAGTTAATCAGGAAAAGAGAAGCGTAACGGGTGATTCCGTTGGTCCAGCCGGAATTGGGCATGCATGGAAGGAGAAAGGGAGAAAGAAGAGTAACATTAGAAAGGGGTGTGGGATGCAGTTCATAGATCGCACAACAAGGGGGGGAAAGAACAATTTCAGCAAGGGCCCCCCACAGTCAACATCCACAAAAGCAACAGAAAAACCACTTGCACTTGCCCTTCATGCGCACACACACAGAGGCACATTTAGGCAGCCACGTTTAAACACTGTACCTCAAACAAGTCACAACCGTCGGCCTCGCCTCGGTCGTAGGGCCGAATGATCCCGTCTTCGCGAATGAGGCGAGGGGGGCGCAGGCTGGAGACTTCTTCAGTAGACTCAGCCACTCTGTGAGGAGAGGGAAGGGAAGTCCTTTCTAGCGAGGGGGCCTTCTGGAAAGATCCGTTCCCTCGGATTCTTCTACAGCCCATTCCAGAAGGACTCCATTCCAGAAACTCTTTCAGGGACAGCAGCTAGCAGAAGAAGGCCTGCTGCTCTGCACCGAAAGGCCCAATGCACACAACCAAGAAGACAACATGGGGCTCATGTGTGTGTCCATGTTCTCCTTCTCACTTGGGTTCTCATATGCCGATTTCTAAGCGAGGCTGCCCCTGTCTCCTTCTGAAAAAGGAGGCCTGGGAAGTAACCCCCAGACGGCTGCTGGACTCACCTCTGAATCCCTTGGAAGGTACTGCTGGCCATGTCAATGATGCCCCCGGTTGGGCGGGCCACCACTCCCACCAGTCCCTTCCCGATGCCCTTGAAGAAGCCAGCCGCGCCCTCCTTCTTGGCACCTTTCAGGATCAAGGGTGAGAAAATTAGAATGGCATTTTCTGACTGCAGACAGTGCCACTAAATTCAAAGCATTTTAATTTCAGGCCATCCACAAGAAGCATTGGTTTTCTCTTTAACATTTCACTCTTTAGCGTTGTTATCTCTTGCTTCATGTCATGACTTCATATTTCAGGCGATTCCAATCAGGGACATTTAAACGGAACATGCAGCAAAGCAGTTACAAAGTTGCTGTCATTTATATGCTTCTTGACTGAATTCTGTGAGAATTAACTTTACTCCAGCTCACTTACCTTCTACAGGTTTTGTGACTATCCCAGTTACTCCGCCAACAACTCCCTTAAAGAAAGCAGGGGGGAAAAAGATGGAGTTGCAGGTTGGAATGGCAAAGTTTCCCATTCATTTCACCCCAACCCTCCACTTTGGGGGAAATTTTGAGTTCAAAGCTAAAACAGGTTCAGCCTGCTCAAATTTTCATCTGAAGGCAATTCATCAGAAGCAGAAATTCTGATAATACAAGACACACGACCCAGTCTGTAAAAAACAAGGCTATAATCCACTTTCCATGAAGAAAAGTAATTTGGGAAACTAGCTTGTCCTATTAGCTATGAGAAGGCTGGGTGTCGATTCTAGGAATTCCTCAGCATGAATCCAGCTGACCTGGCTGAAATTGACCTAAACCCCAGAGAGCAGAGGCACCAGAGCCCTGCGGGGCAGGAGATTATCTCGCCTTTCAAGAACTGGCTGCAACTTTTGCCAGGTTCTGGTGCCAGGAGGTCTTCTGGGCCACTGGCTGGCTGGGCAGAAGAAGCTGGACAAGCCCTAGGAATTCCAACCCAGCTTCACGTTTCTGACATATTTGGAAAACTCTGGTCCATAGAAAAAAGTGCCAAATGCTGTAGGGTCAAAAATCCCAATTGCATTCTACATCACTGCATCCTTTCATCACTCCTGCTGCTCCTGAAAGGGATGCACTCGGGCCCCTGAAGGCGATTGGTACCCTGGGATCCCCAGCTTGGTCTCTGGAGAAACTCATTCCCCACCTTCAAACGGGCTCTCCGGCCACCCTCACCCACACACAAACAAAGGACACAGAGGGGGAGGGTACGTCTTGTCCCCGAAATGTCTAGGAAACACCTAACACTTGAAAACGATATCAAAACAGAATGTTACTGCATGTAATTAATAGTTCTATTTCTGTTGTTTTGGTAGGCTGTCTATTTATTTATTTATTTTACTCACTAGCAGGAGAAAATGACACAGACCCAAAACACAACACACACAGCACCAATTGGAGGTGGAGTTAATTTAATACAGCTGGGGTACGGGGGGTGGGGACACCCAGAATTCCAAGGAGCATCTAAAGAACATCCTACCCTCAGAAAGCCCTTTCCACCTTTGGCGAGGCTGTCCCCAAAGTCCTTCGGCTGGCGCCCCATCTCCTCCCGTCTCTTCTGCTGGAACTCCTTATCCATGGTGATGGCAGCCAGGCCTTTTCCGACCGAGCCAGTGATGCGGGACACCACGCCTGCAGCACCACCTGCCAGCCAAGGGGAGTTTAGGGATGCGCCAATGGAGAGCAGCTCAAGAAAGCTTCTCCACCCACCGAAGGTGCCCCACCTACCAACAGTGTGGCCAAGAAGACTCCTCACGCCAATCACAAGCCCCTCGGCAAACTCTTCAGGTCCCTGGACAGCTCCCTACAGAGAAGGAGATGATCCCAAGCAGACTTTGAGAGCAAAGCTAAGCGTCCAATGGGCGTCCAGCACTCTGCTCTTGTCAATGGTGGCTGTGGATGGCTCAGGCGGCAGGTGAAGCCTTGGAGTAATTTACCTAAAACTACACAGCATGGAAAAGCCAAAGGAGCCTTCAGGTTGACTCCACATCCTGACTCTTATCGCACAACTGGCAGAAGCCCTGAAGGGGGTCATGAAGGAGAGCCGAGATTTCACGGATATCCCCCTCCCCTGGGGTTTATTCGTCTTCAGGGCTTCCATCCGAAACAGGCCTTTCTTAAAAAAGCATTGGGGCAGGAGGATTTGGTGGGGTGGGAAGGTGGAACCTCCCCAGACACCAGGTTCCCAGGTTTTCTGCTGTCAATCATCGCGCTGTACCTGGAAGGGCTCGTAGAATAGGGCCTCCACACCTTCCGAAAGGCCTCTGATTAAGCCGAAGGGGTTGCCCAGGACATCCAGCCCCAACACAAGAATGTACATCTGCTTCAGGAACTTTAAACAAAAAAGAACACAAAAAATGAGTGTTTGAAACGATAGGCAGGCCTATCCTGGAAGCAGGAGCGGAGGGGAGTGAAAGGAGGGTGGATTATCAGGTCTAAAGTAGCAGCACTTAAGCAGGGGAGAAACCGCAACGGCTCCGGGCTGCACTTGCTAATGGGGTTTATGCAAGGGGGGGAGGGGCAAAGGACAGGGACAACTTACTTGCCCGCTGTAATGGCCAATGACTCTCCACAGCAATTCATCTCTTTTGTAAAACTGGTATTTGATTTCGAAGAAAGCAAGCCTGAAAGCAGCAGATAAACGGCCTCATGAAGATCCGTAGCTTAGAACTCTGTTGTCCTCTGCATGTCAAGAATCTTACAGACACTACTCTATAGGAAGGCCTTGTGGGGCAAGCTATCTTCATCCCGTTCTACTGAAACCCAGCAGAGCTGACAAGTCATCCAGGAAGCAGATTGGGGGTCAAAATCAGATTTAGAGAAGAGGCTTGAGGTTCCTCACCGCTTAAAGAGCGTGTGATTATTTGTGTGGGTGATAGTCCTTTCCCTGCTAGCAAGCCCAGGTTGGCATGTCCAAGAATTGACACATGTGATGGCAAGGAAATGGGAAGCGATTGAGCCCTGCGAAACTTCATCCTCTAAGGCATGTCTGAAGGGTGACAAGAAGCTCATGGCTCAGGCCTGGGTGTCTCTGGGACATCCCTGTCTGTCCTTCCCAGGCCTTCCTTGCAGGGAATGTCGTCTGCAGGGACCTAAACTCTTGCCTGAGATCTTCGTGGCTGCATTTTAGAAAAGCTATCACCACCTGGCTTTGTGGATAGATACATTATGAAATCTAATCCCTCTTGTGGTTTGGGACTTGATTTATCTTTTGCCTTGGAAAGGTAGTGTCATTTTGATGTTGTTGCGTATGGATTTTTCAATCCTTATTTATCCAATGGGTTTTTTTGCTGCTCCACATCTGGATTGACAGGAGCAGCACAGAGCCCAGGAAATACAGGAATCCCTGTCTGTACAGTCCCTGACCCATTGTCCCACTGGAGGTCCCCGGGCTGCTCCTACTCCCAAGAACCTCCTGAGATGAACCCCGAAGCCCCTTACTTGAAGATGAGGTCATCCACATCGGTCAAGGTGGCTCCAATGCTCTTCAGGAGCAGATTGACAGAATGGATGGCAATCACGTCACCCTGGCCGGACTCGGATGCGTCGGTGCCAGAGCCCAAGGAAAGGCTTAAATGGAGCTGGCAAGAGAGAAAGCAGTGCTTATGAGAGCCGCTGAAGCTCAAATACTTTGTCCCCCTTATGAGAAGAGAGGGTTCCTTGGAGAAGACCCTGGTGTTGGGAAAGGCGGAAGGCAAAAGGAGAGAGGGGACGGCAGAGGAGGAGATGGTTAGGGAGGGTCATCGATGCAATGAAGGTGAGTCTGGGGAAACTCCGGGAGACGGTGGAGGGCAGGGGGGCCTGGCGTGCTGTGGTCCATGGGCTGCGAAGAATTGGCTATGACTTAGCAACTGAACGACAATAACAACAAGAGAGCCATTGTTAGTTATTAAGCTTTGCTGAATGCAGGATTCATTTAAATACCACTTTAAAAAAACCTATTGAGTTTTCAGTTAACTCATTTCTGTCAGCTTTTTTAATTCTGGCATGTTTTATATTCATATTCATATTCATTCATTCATTCATTCATATGGTCTACTTTCAAAAAGTTCAACATCAACCTTATTTCAAAGCTGGCTCTCGATCCTGTTTGCATTTTATTAAATTGAGGAGGGAATCAAAGAATTCCGTAAGGAACATTCCGTTGAATTTTCAATTTAGCATTTCTGCACAGAACTTAAGAAATTTAAATGCAAAAACCATCTGATAAAAAAGACACTTTTAAAATATTGGGGGACAGGGAGAAATAGAACCAGAAATAATGCCTTCTATTAGGGCCGTGATAATGAAAAGCAAATTATGGAATTTGTGGTCCTCTAAAACAAGGCTTTAGGCTCAAAAGTGTAAAAAAAAGCAAATTTAAGGCAGGTTCCACAAATTATTGCAAATTAACCCAAGAGATGTTTTCTTCCATCTAGTTAGCTAGCTAATGGAGAAAGAAATTAAACTTTACCATATATGGAAACAGAGCCCGAACGCCACAAAGCCATTTTCTCCCTGCTGGGCTCATGGAAGGATGTAAAATGGGAAAATGAGGAAGGGGCTGTGTCGTTCTCCTCAGAGGAGGGGGGGTCTCAGGCGGTGCTCACTGGAGGGAATAAGTGCTTTTGGCGCTAAAGCCTTGGCACTTGGGCCAAACTGCAAACCTCAAAGCTCCCACCTAAATCTGAGGCATTTGGGCAAATGCTTCGCCCCCTGCAAGTGCCCTGTGACTGCCTTGTGCCAGGGGCAATCTCTGGGGGAGGAGCTGCTGTTCTCTGAAAACAAACCTTCAGTGGAGAAATGTGGAAGTGTTCAAAGAAACTAAGAGTGGAGACGTCCGTCAAGGAGGATTCCATCAACTCCGTGTTAAGAGCATCGATATCTTTCTGTATCAACCCGGTCTGTTAAAACAGAAATAAGCTTGAACAGGTATCCTCAATTGGGTTCAAGCAAAACATTACACATTTTCACATTTGTTTACTGAGACTTCTTTAGTTAATCTCTTAAGCCTTTCGGTACCTATCCTTATGCTTTTTTCAAAGGTTTTTTTTTCTTTTTAATCCCTCCAGTTTTTAAAACATCCCTCCCAAGTGGAGACGGCAACTACCTTCTGCTTCCCAGCTTCTGGGTCTGTGGCTGGAGTGAAGAGGTCAATCACAGCTGCTAGGAATCCCTGATCCAGCTTCAAAGCCATCTCCTGGATGAGAACCATGAAATACCTGGCAGAAGGAAATCAGAATCAGAATTGATACAGGAAACCTGCTTCTAGAATGGGGGAAGCAGGAAGGACCCCTGGATTCTATCTGCCAGAACCTGCCATCAGACACCACATCTTCCAGAGAGAACTGTGGAGGAAGTCATCTTTGAACATGATGCCAAAAGCTAAAAAATATGGAATCAGTGGACTGTTTTACCTTTTCTCTGAATATGAAGAATGTGTTGTTGTTTTAGTTGGTAACCATGTTTCAGACATGGCTGAATATAATTTACTTACTTGAACTGCAACACTTTGCTGTATTCATTAAACCGAATTATGATGCTGATGTCAATTAAAGGTTTCGGTTCTAAGTAAAAGAAAGAGAGAGAGAGATGAATTGAATGCCTATTTTGCCTGGTTTGGTTACTTCAGGAATGTCCAACCTTGGCAACTTTAAGTCTGGTGGACTTCAACTCCTAGCATTCCCCAGTCGGCTGGTCTTAAAAAGTTATCAAGGGTGATGTGCTTGGACACCCCTGAGTTTGTTGGTCCATTGGTGCTTGAAATTCATCTCACCTGAATCGAGTGCGATGGATTTGGGAGGAGCCACAGGGTGAAACACCACCGGGAACATGGAACCGGGGAGTTGGTTGTCCACCTTGAAGGGAGGAGAACAGGGATATATGGAGAGCATTAACCAGTCTGCCAGTCTAGCGGTTATTTCTGAACAAGGAACCTTGCAGGTGGGATGTGCCAGCATCTATTTAACTAAAATGCCAATGGATTAGAAAGGCGGTAGACTTGTGACACCAGATTAAGAGGAAAACCTTAGAGGATTTGCTGAGGAGAAAATTGTGATGTTAATGTTTCTTACAAAACACGGCTGTAACATTTTTATTGTCCTTTCTCTTTCAGGAACACCACCAACTGAATTTCTAGGAGCCGACCCTGGATAAATACAGCGATAAGGGACTCTGGCAGACCTTGGGGTGATCATTTTTAAGAAGCCCAGCCTCTTAATCCCTGGGGAGAGATTAGCCTTCTCTAAGAGCAAAGGAACCTACCTGAAGCCAGTATAACTGAGCCCGTAAGCTCTTCTGATGTGCTGACTGCTTGAATTCAATTTGGATGGCCGACAGAAAGTCTCGCTTGATTATGCATTTGAATGGAAGGCGCATTTCCATTGGCACCTTATCGAAGTTTATCTGGAAATAGAAAGTAGAGCTACAGAGCTGCTATTATGTGAGCTGCCCCTCACTTCACACCCTGAGATACAGGGACATTTCAGACCAAAATGCAACTCCTGAGAAACAGTGAAAATCTTCTTCCTCTCCAACTGTATCCCGGTTGTTGTGTTTGTCACTTGTTACAAACACAACAACAGTGACAAACACACAGTATTGCCCCTTGCCCCACTGAAAACTACACCTTGAATAGCTGTGGACTATTTTGCTTGTCTTCAAGGCCCAAAGTCAGGTATTGTTCAGGAGCTCAAATTTCAGTAAACTTGATTCGATACTACTCAACAAACCTTAAATGCCGAAATATGCTAGAGTGTTTCTCAACGCTCAAATGCCCTGCCATGTACTCAAGAACTAGCATTAGCCTAGCACTGATGGTGTTGCCTAGTCTGGTAGTGAAATGTCTGCAAGGAGACCACCAAGCTCAGAGAGCACCAAGGACCCCACAACTCAAGAACCGGCTGGAGGAGTTTCTCACTTCTGGAAGGGAGCGGAGAGTCACAAAGAAGAGGTTTTGCCAAGCATCTTAGGCTCAGCTGTATTCCTGCCATTTGGAGGGTTTGACCTTCCTCTGTGGCTCCAGCCTACCTCAAAATTGTTGTTGATCTTCATCCAGCCGGAAGGCTCCGTGCTCTGCACAGAGAGATGCCTTTGATAAGCCTGTTCCAAGAGGTTGATGTGCTTCTGATTAAAGGGCTTCCACCTTTGCTTTGGTTTCAGTTCCCAGACAATGCCTGAACTGCAAAAAGTAAAGGGAGAATCAGAAACGAAATCCTTACAGGGAAATATATTGTACGCCGCTAAAGGAAATATCTCTTAATTATTTAATTTCTAAATTGGTGAGGCTGCTGCTTCTCTGCAATGTGACCAAGACTGAATGTCACTTAAGAGTCAAAGAAAAACCTCCCAAATCTGTCTTCAGCAGCTTTTTTTATGTTAAAGGAATCCAAAATGGGCATTTGATTAGGGAAATATGACCAACTAACGCTTTGCACCGAAAGCATTACCTGCACACACACCCTGCCGACCAACGTTACCTGGTGATGCCTATGTAAGAGATCTCCTGTTTCCTGTTGTTGTTGACCAGTGAAAGGCCGAGGCCCTGAAGAGCGATGCTTATTTCCTGGTCAGGCTGCTCCATCTCCTCAGCCTGCCTTGCTTTGGACACCAAAGCCACGTCCTCCGTGAACAGCAGGACCCTCTGCCGCCCATCCAGGAAAGAGACCCAGTGGATGGGGGTGTTGGCATTGTAGGGAAACTGACCACACTCGTCCTAAATGGGCAGGAAAGAAGAAGCAAGGGGAAGGATGGTAAGCAGCAAAATAGAAACCCTTTGCATACGCTTTTGTTAAAATAGCGAATCCTTTAATTTAGCTTTAAAAATAGTCATTGGCTGATTAGCAAGGAAAAGGGATTGAAGACAGTAACACAAATATTGCTGAAAAGGGGCTGCTAGGCTCTAAAATAATGAGCTGCCCAAATGAATATATTGAGCAGGAGGCTTTAGGATTCAAAAATTAAATGCTATTTCCAGAGGGAGGGAGGGAGGGAGGGAGGGAGGGAGGGAGGGAGGGAGGGAGGGAAGGAAGGAAGGAAGGAAGGAAGGAAGGAAGGAAGGAAGGAAGGAAGGAAGGAAGGAGCATAAAAAGACTGAGAGTGCTAGATTGACAGGGTTTGTTAAAGATACAGATTACCTTGAGAAGATCGAGTTCACCGGTGTTTTGTGCATAGTTCCAACTTAATTTTCTTATCCCTGTAGGATCTGCCCAAACGAACAATCTAACTTCCTTCGGCTTCAGTTCCATCACTTCCTGCAGGCCGCTGTATGGATTAAAAAACACCCATGGGAAACTCCTGTGATGCCCCGTGCTCTACAACAGCAGCGCCTCTCGCTCAAGACATGGGCGCCTTCCCACCTACCTCTGCTGGTACTTCAGAGTCGCCCACGAAGTCTGATTAATGACCAATGCAGGGGCAGCCCCCTCGTAATAATCGGAGAAGTTGATAACTATGGAATGCTCAGCCACGCTGACGTTCACCAGGATACCCGTATTCTATGGGAAGGAACAGAAGTGATGCCTGCAGCATCTTGGCAGTTTCACTGCAGCTCCAGAAATGGCAGGAAGCTCCCTCCTGCTGTTGCTCTTGACCATGAGTCCCACCTGCAAGGTCGGGGGGACAGGCATGCCAGGACCCCAGGTTGCTTTCAGAGCCTTAAAAGAGAAGAACAAGTGTACTTGCAATCTTACCATTTTTTCCAGGCTCAGCAACGTTCCCTTGTCCTGTCGGTTGTAGAAGAAGGACTTGGAGACTTGCTCGGAGCCGCTCACTCTGACGCACAGCTTGCCAGATGGACTTTCAGGCCAAAACGCAACACACTAGCAGGAAAAAGGGGAACAGGTGTAGATAAAGAAATAAGTGGGCCAATTGTTTTGATTAATGTCTTGTAAGAAGTTGGAGTTGGCATGTTCTCCAACCTGGTGCCCTCTAGAGATTCCACATTAGCTGTAGAGGAAGGTTGTAAAGTTTGGTGCTCAATTATTACCACTTTGATCTCTGTCTGAATGTGCTGCTTTAGTGTCCCAACGGATCGGATTAAATCAGAGAGCAATAATAAGCAATGATCATTTTTAACAAGAGAGCTCCTTCCAAGTCATGCTGCTGGCCACTGAACCGCTAACATTGCAACTATGTTTTACAACTAGAAACTCTTAACAAACTCTTGTTTCAGAAAACACGACATGAGAGCAAGCCAGCTAAACTGACAAACTCGGTCTCCCAATGCTCTTACCTCTGAGGGTGAGAAGTAATTCCATTTATTAGTAGGAAACGATCCATCAGCTCCTATTTCTCCAAATTCCAGCTCCAAGGAAGAGGTGTTTGTTATGGTATAGAATGGCGTCAGAGTGACGATCCGAGTCAGGTTGAAGCTGCTCATTTGAATAGTAACGCCAACCTGCAGAATGATATTATCATTTATATTTCAAAAAAACTCAGCAGAATGTGTTTTTTAACATGGTTTAGGAAAGTTTTGGCTTGTGCTGATCTAAGGGATGGCTTTGGATGAGGGAATCTGATTCCCCTGACCAAGGATCACCCCATCCCATCCCTTCCACTGAGAGGAGACCAGGATAAGGGGTTCGGATACCTACGGCTGGAACAAACAAGAGCAATTTGTCAAAGCAGGAAGCAAGTGCAGAAATCCAACAGTACCAGAAAATCCATGTTGCCGGCTGGACACTTCACACACCCAGAATTTCCCACTGTATCCAGGGAGAAACTGCTTGACCAAGTACTGGTGGAGATGCACAGCTGGATCTAGATTAAAAAGGGAGAATTTGGAGGACAGAAAACAAAGAGCTTCTTTCTGAAAATCAGAGATGTCCGTTCCTAATATCAAGAAGCTACAATTATGCTTCAGGTTTCCAGCAACAAGTCACAAGGGGTGACTGTTAGGAAGGTAAGTATAGAAAATCGCAAGAAATCAGATCTCACACAATCTTGACCACCCGAAAAGATAGCGACAAAAATGTTAATTCACCACTGAGGTGGCAGTGAGGGAGAGAGACTGGATCTATACTCGGATAGCTGCAGGCATAAACAAAGAAAATTGAGATCCATTCAAAGCAGCATTCAAATTGCTCATTTCCTATTAAGAAAAATGAGGGGGAAATCTGCAATAAAGTGCGAATCAGAAAAACCAAATAAGAAAAAAAAAAGCTATAAAATTAATTAGGAAACATTTAGTCCAGCACTATCTAGAGGGTGAATCAATACTAGGCTGATTAAATATATTGGAGCTTCCTCAAAAAGAGTGGGCTATTAGCCAAAGGAAAGAGGCTATTTTTATAAGCAGGCTGAGCCCAACCTTTCCAAATTGCAGAAGACGGTATTAGTGAAAATCACTGGAGCTTCTTCAGGCAGGTTGGACAGAAGCTTGGCCTCATACCTTGTTTTTACTGAAAATATTCTTTTTCTTGAAGGAGAATAAGACAGTGTCTCGAAAGTCTGCTGGGTGTTTCACGTGAACGTCCTCGGCGCGATACTGGAGGACGCGGGAAGTCTTATTGATGATCCAGTAGGGACTATACACCGAGAGGGTGGTGTGGGTGCTGGCTTTCCTGACGTGAAGGTAAAGATCCATCGTAGCCACTTCTGCAGAATGTGAGGTGAAGCAGACCGGGAAGAACTCCGGCAGTGCCTCATGGACACGAAAGCGCCCGCTCCAGTCTCGGCCCTGATATTTGAGCAGGATCAGCTCCATGACCTCCCCGCTGATTCTCGAGTGAAGAACATCAGCAGCGCTTCCTTCATGCAGCTCGTGGGCCTTGGCTGTGCCCTGCGAAGAGCATTGGAAACCGTTAAGGGCCTGAGAATAGGAGCAGAACCAGGCGGGGCTGATGTGGATGGAAAGTGTCTTCTTGGGACACTGAGACAGAATTAGGCCCTTCATGTTTGCAATGCACAATTCAAAGATTGTAAAAGCAACTTGGGGACACCATCTGTCTGGAACAGTGTGGAAGTAAAAAATGACCGTAATTTCTCCAAGCAAGAATATGAAAAACGGGAACAGCAATTCTCCATCATCCATCATGGCAGAATTTCGAGAGCATGGCACAATTCCTAGCGGAGATGCTCCAGTTCAGCTAGACCAGCCTTTCTCAACCTCAGCAACTCTCAGAGGTGTAGACTTCAGTTTCCATGCTGGTGGGTGGAACTCTGGGAGTTGAAGTCCACACCTCTGAAAGTTGCTGAGAAACAGTGGACTAGACCAGGGGTCTCCAACCTTGGCAACTTACAACTCGTGGACTTCAAACCCCAGAATTCCACAGCCAGCAGGCGCTTGTAAAGTTGCCAAGGTTGGAGATCCCTGGACTAGACAGTCTTCACTTGCCTCAGACACAACAGCTCAGGAATTCCTTCTTGTGCACTCACTCAGACTGCTTGCAGGTGCTACCTGTATCCTAGGATACACTGAACTTGGGCCTTTTTTGCTTTTTAAAGGAAAATAATATGCTCTCCAGTTCATCACCATATGTTTAAAATGCTTCTAAAAACGATTTCCCTTTCAAGAGGATGGAGAGAGCTAAAAGCAGTCGGGGCAAAGTTAAGTATCACGAAGTAGAGTTAGAGTGGAAGAAAGACAAATTGATGTGTTGCAAAAAAAAAAGGGGGGGGGAGGAATTACTGAATGCTGAAATCCCCTGGGCCTTTTTGAGTTGCATCACAGCCCCTCTTGACTAACGTACCTCGAGGATGTATTGCAAAGAGTAAGGTAGAAGATTCTGCAGGGTAAGTGTGGGGTAGAAATGAATAATGTAGGCCGGCTCCCAGTTCTCCTTGTGAGTTGCGATGAAGTTGAGCTCATCGGGCACGGCCGTGGCTTTCAAGCGGAGTGGCAGGAAACTGGTATCGGTGGCCGGGCATTGAAGCATACAGGTAACTTCGCTACTCCTGTGCAGTTCTTCTTGCCAAGATATGTAGGTTGTGGATGGCTCATATTGTCCTTTTAAGATGCCCGTTGGCTGAACAAACAGCTGACATCTAATAAGCCAATCACAGAAAGCAGAAGACATTGGAGGAAAAAACAGCACAAATCCTCGGAATCCTTTGCAATAAATAGAACTGCTTAAGTATCTGAATAAGTGAAATATTTACCGATACGAATCTAATGGAACATGAAATTCCTCTTCTGGAAGAGACACACCTAAAGGCTTCAGCTGTTTAATATCCTTAACAAATTTGTAGATTATAAACGGGACAGAGAAGTGGTTTTTAATCTGAAATGGAAAATAGAACATGAATAATACGTGAAAAGATTAATGGTTCCAATAGAAGAGAATTTCTGTCGTTCGGGGTTGAATTGTAGAGTTCTTGATGGTCTCTAAGCTTGGTGGTTTTCTTGCAGACATTTCATGACCTGACTAGGGAAGATCATCAGTGCTAAAAGGGAATGGGATTTTCTCCCTGATTCTATACAGTACCCTTGCCTGCCAGTAGGGTGTGGTTTTCCACATGGGATCGGGGCTGCAGGAAAACACCACTTTTTCACCGCACGCTCAACGTGTGCAAGGCTTCACACCCCGAAGCAGAATCACAACACAGGATTTACCTGGAGAGGGGAGCGCAGGGTGATCATTTTGTTCCCTTCTTCTGCATCTATCTGCACCACGACCGAGTTGGAGGAGCTGCTCTGGGGCGCTCTCACACTGTGGAGCCTCCGCCCTGGCTTGGCTATGGGAACAGCTGAGACCTCACTGTAGCCTTCAGGCCCTGTTTTGCATCAAAGCAATTTTCCTTATGTTATCCCTTCACCTTTGTTTCTTGCAAAAAATAAAACCAGTTTACAACTCAATTATAATTCAGGCTCCAGAAGCTTACAGCTACTGTACATAACCTGATCTGCTTACAAGGAAAATAAAATATTTATTGTCACAGAACTGTGATAAACCAAAGGAAGCGTTTAAAAAGTTCTTGTCTGAAAATCATTCTCGATCATTTGGAAATGCTTTGTTCACCTTCCTAAAGCTCAGTGTTATTTGACTGATTATTCCTTTTTTAAAAATAACAGAAAAAGGGGGAAACCCCACAAATTATAACACAGATGTAGGAGATGACCAGGCTGAGCCAGAGGGGGGGGTCAAATGCGTAAGAAGTTTGATGAGTCCCAGCCCGTCCGCAAGAGAGCTACGTTCAGCCCACCCTTAAATGCTTCCTTAATTCCCGCTCATTTCCCTTGACTGTTAGTAGCTCAGGTTTTTGTAGGAAGCTTAAGAGTGCAATCAATCTTTATATTCATTTGAACTGCCTGAAGCTCCTGATTTCTCCAGCGCTTAACAAATACACTAAGCACAAAAATTGCTTAAGAGTGAAAAAAATAAAATGGAAAAAAGGATGAAGAAAGAGAATATACCATTATAGCAATGAATAGCTGCAGCACCTTACCAAAGCTCAGAGTTAGCAGACAGCTGTCTTGGCGACGTAGGATGCTAAGCCTTCTTCTGTCCAGAGACTCCGAGGTGGCATATTCCAGTTCTAAGCTCTGACCAAGTCCGACCCCCTGAATGCTATCACTTTTAGGGAACCCCACAACCTGGAGGCCTCTGCAGGTGTGGATACTGACAGGGATTCCCAGAGCGTTTCTGACCGTGAAGGGAGCCCGGTCTTTCAAAGTAGCGTCGTAAGTGGAAGCGGTTCCTTCCGAGAAGCCCTAACAACAAAGCCCATGTTTACTACTTGAAGAACGGGGGTGAAATGCTAATCAAAGAAATTAAAACATAGGAGAATTCTATCCAAACCGTAGGAGGGGAAGGGTTCGTTCTCCTATCTCATCAAACTTACCTTGGCTAGATTATTAAGGACAGCTAAGCAACATTTGGATATGGTTATATTCATGGTGTCTTTTGAAGAGATAGAGATCAGCTGCTGGGGTTCAGGTAGAATGATAAAGTCGTCTCCTGGCAACAGACCTCTGTCCTGCTCGGGGTTTGTCTTCATCTAAGGAGGAAAAGGAGAAAGTCCAATAAAGGCCCATCTGAATCCCAGGGAAGGCCCGAAGTGGTGTCCCAAATTTGGACAGTAATTCATCCTTTGGTCTATGAATGTCTAGAATAAAGGCAGCATGATACCCAAATTGTGAACTTATTTCCCCAAAATAAAAGGAAGAGCTATGAATGCAGACAAAGCGTTCCTTTAATCTTATAAGAAGAAAAATAGCAAGATGAGACAAAGGTGAATTTAAAGGGAAGCAAATTCTTCTTTAGAAGTTCCCAATCAGTATTTCCTAAACTCAAGTAAATTACCCGAATTGCGTAAAAGTGGTTTTTCTTTTTTCTGCACAGAAAAACCCATGTGTTTTTCTGTGCAGTTGGTGTTTTAATTACAATGTGTAAAAAGGACTTTTTGATTAGTGGTTTTGGGTGATGAAGAAAAAAGTTTGGGAAGCACTGGCTTAAATACATTTAATATGTGGTGTTTTAGTATTAAACATAATGCGGAACAATACATTTTCTTCAGCTATTCAAACATTAGAGAAAACATTTGCATAATTGCTTGCACTGAATTAATATTAATTCTGTAACTGGTCCTGAAAAGCTATTCATCTGGGAGACAGAGGACCAACTGAAACTAAATGAGGCTGCCCCCTGCCTAATGAAGTTCCAGACCACCAATTTCCCCAAAGCATGATAAAAATACACTTTGCATTTTTATCATGCACAGAAAACAAATGGCCAAAAAGGAACATTAAATGCTTGCTTACTTCCAATTTTAAGTTCCAGCGATGTCCTTCTCTATCCACTTGTTCTATCAGAGGTTCCCAGAGAGCATGGGTTTCGTTGTAATAATTCACCTGGGGTGCAGGATGGAACACAAAGCTGAAGCACGCAGAGCTTTCTCCTCCCGACTAACAAAACCCAACTCAAGAGGCATGGAGACCTATTAGAAGGTCAAGGCATGGACCCTATTTACGCACCTCCAGCGTCACATCAGCTCGGGCTGACATGAGAGAAGACCAATTTTTTACGGTTCCAGAAAATGCAGATTCTGCTAACAGTAAAGGGACGGTACGATGACCCAAGCCGCACTCCAGGGTGACCTGAACCGATTTCACCACCACCTCAAAATGTTCCTTTTTTTCACTCTGCTCGCTGGCTAGCAAGGCTTCTGTGGCTTCTGTGGCCATGTCGACGCCCAGGAACCAACTCTGGCACTCGTCCACAGATCTGATGCTCCAGAGGTCCACAGGATTACAAAGGGTCCCTCCAGATTCTTCCTCCTTGGTCTGTCGCTTCATAGCAGCCAGGATAGTCATGACAGTGTTGAGAATTATTGGTGACACCTTAAAAATGAAAAAGGATACTAGAGCTGAGCGCTTCACTTATAATGCATGCAGTAATTGGAGACCAGTGTTTCTCAAACTTGACAACTTTCAGAGGTGTAGACTTCAACCCCCACAATTCCCCAGCCACCGGATCCTGCCTTCAGAGTCAATGTCTGGGTTAAATCAAGGGCTTTCAACCTATCAGCTTGCACTGAAGAGCTGCTATTTACATATAAATTCAGAGTGATGGTGAGATTATTCCTGATAAAATCAAACCAATATTTTTACTGTGGAGGATCAGAAGGCAGAAGCTCAGGACTGTGGGTGTATTGCAGGGATCCTCCCTGGAATAGTGGATTAGTGAATGAAGGTTCACTATGGGATGAGGAAAGAATGAAGTGAATAGTTCCAGGGACTCTACACACTGTAGATCTCAGCTCAGCCACAGATTTTTCTAGACAGGCACCTAAGTATCAGGGTGAGCAATCTGTTACTAACTTTCACAATCAAGGTGTCCATGTTCACATCCACGCTTTGCACTCCAGAAGTATCCATCGTGGCTTCCACAGTTAAAGAGCATGGATGCACCACCTAAAAGAACACCAGCAAAGTATTGGGGTCAATGCCCGCTTCCTACTGGCAGGAAAGAAGCCCCCTGCAAAGGGGAAGATCCCAGCAAGGGGCTCACCGTGGTGACCTTCTTCTTTGCTGTCCCCCGGAGGAAGGGGCAGGCCAGCACCCTGAGGTCCAGGACCCGAGCGGTCATCTGCTGCGCCTCGGAGCCCCCCGACAGCATGAAGCTGCACTGGAAGGAAGCTGCCAAGGCGGGTGCATCGGCCTTGGTCAAGTTGGCCACAAACACAATTTCTGGATCCATGATGTGAGCTACGACTGACATGTTTGATCGCGCAGCTGCAGCTGTAAAAGTTTAAATTCAGTTCATGGCTCAATGAACCATGGTTATCACAACAGAGTAATAGCATACACCATCATCACTATGGCTAATAAAAATAAAGCGATCCTGCGCTTAAGTCCCTGCCTTGGCATCTCTGCTCTGACCATGGAGCAACACATCCTAAACTGAAAATAAAGCCAGTGGCCTTAAGAGTGCAAAACTGCCCCGTGAGTAAGGATTAAGGATATTCAGAGCGGCTGTGCAGAACTCCTTCCGCCTGCTGACCTTTCTTGGGCTTAGGCTTTCCCTGGGAAGCTGGCTTCAATGCGAACTGGGCCGGCCTTTCCACCGGTTTGGCTGCAGGCAGGGACTGAATGAAGAAGTCGGCCACTGTCAGCAAGAACTCCATGCTGGCACACAAATACAGCTGATCCAAGACAGCTACGATGTCGGTCCCGTTTTTATCTTGCTTGTAGTTGATATCAATCATGACAATATCATCTTTACCATCCTTTCTGGCTAGCATTCTGCAAAATAGAAATGCATTCATAGATGAGATGGTTGAATTTATGGGGGAAGAACTTGGAATGGATTAATCCAGTTTTGTATCCTCCAATTACCCCGATTCCTAGAATTTCTAATGAGAAGGCCACCATCTGCAAGGCCTCGGATTCAACAGACCTTCAAACAAATTCCAAACCGCCTCTGTACAAGAGGTAGATTTTTTCACGGCTGACCACGTATGTTAAGCAAAGTACCGATGGCATTCATGGCCGAGAGGTGGTGTTTTCAAAGGACTGCTGGATAGCTGACCTTGCAGATGCTTTCTCGACCCCTTCTCTGAGATCATCCAAGGTGCATGTTTCCATCTTAGTGCTGACATCCAGAGAGCCGTCCGAAAACATTTGTCCTGATGATCTCATGAAATGCAGCCGGAGTTCTCCAAGGCGCAAGTGGCTATTGTGAAGCGAAAGCTGAGATTTCTATGAGATATAAAAATGGCCGAGATAAAGGGATGAAGTCTCACAGCTCAGAGACTTGACACTTCTCCTAGTTTGGACTATCTATCCGAACAGAGAAAGAACACGGATGGAGAACTTTTTTCTATTAAAACAACCAAATTCAATTCACATAGAAGAAATCTCTCTCTCAAGAAAAACGTTTTAAGACTTTGACATCGTGATGCCCAGGTTGTCAATGGAGAAAGCCCCCAAAATATCAGAAGGGAGAGGGGGCCAGGAATTGGAATGGGGCAGGGAAGGCTGGAGGCCTGATCAACAACATGTGTGTGTGCATGCACATGCGCGCACATATATGAAGCGGCACATACAAATGGCTAACAAACTCAAAGATCAAATTTCACATGTTTTTGGAACAAACTCTCCATTTTTGGACCACCCTGATCTAGTTGGCCTGTGATCTTTTTTTTTAACATTCTATCTCGGGGTGCCAAGGAAACTGGCTTTCAAGAATCTTGTCTTGTGACCAACCTGGTTCTTATCAGCATTGTAGAGAACGACGGAGAGCGATTCAAAGTTGAAGTGAAACATGATGGCCACACTTTTCTTCAGCTGGGCTTCCCCAGATGCTTCGCCTGCAGGAATCTCAGGGGTTCCTGGGTGATTGAGAAACGAGAAAGAAGCCATGTCCATGGCTTGCCTGAAGACTGGCAGTTGAGAGCATGACCTTCCATTCAACACCAGCCCCCTTTGATCCTGTTTCACAAATGGAGACTTCATTAGAGCCAAAGACCAGCATACAATGTGATGCCATTTCTTTTTATTCCCCCTTTACCTTGTGCTGAATTCAAGGGGAATTCAAATTATAATTCAAGGGGAATTATAAAGAACCCATTATAATGTTCTCTTCTCTTATACATAATGACAACCCTGTGAGGTCGTCTGGCTGGGACAGAGTGGCTGGCCCAAAATCACCCGGCCACTTTCACCTCCAAAGTCTCCAGGTTTCTAGCTAACACCCCAAACTTGTTTTCCCCAGTACTTCCCAGGTACTCTTTTGTCCTGATGGTGGTAACAACCAAATGATGCATTTTGCAACTCTTTGAATTAAATGCTCCGCTTCAGGGAAAGACGTACCTTCATCAAGGCCAGCCACAGCTTCAGCTTTGGGCTTTTTAAACTTCTGAGCATCTGGCAAGGTGGAGTGTGTGACTTTGGGATCTGCAGCAGCTTCACTGAGATTCTCTAGCAAAATGTTCATGAGCAAAGTCAAGTCGTCCTGACTGAGTGAGATCTGCAAAGAGAAGAATCTATTATTAAACTGCTTTCCTCCGGCAACGCCACCCATTTTGGCTTCCTCCCCACCCCCCCACCTTATGCAAATAATAAAGATCAATCTTAGGCCAGCACAAGACCTTCCCACAAGGGTTTATTAAAACACCTCCAAAGGCCAGATTGCAGACTCCGGGGGGGGGGGGGGAAATGCATTACATTGCCAGCATAGGTAGGAAATACCTGCCTGTCACTCTGATGGGTCTGCATGAATTAGCTAGTAGCAAACATATACACACAGAGTGATTGCGGCATTGTCAAAAAAGGCAGAAATTGTTGGTTTTCTAATGTGTTCAAAACGGGCAGGAATCCTTCCAGCCAGAAGGGAAAAAAAACCTTATGTAAAAAAGTTATAAGTGGAGATAAGCCTAACTGGAAAATCAAAGCCCCCTTCAAGGGCAAAATCAATGTAACCTCTATCAGAACCCAAGTGATAATTATAATCCACAGTTTATCTCCCCAGAGATCATGGCTCTCTGGGCTTTTTGTGACCTTACCAGCATGGCCTTTAAGTCTCCTTGGATGGCGATCCCTGGAATCTGCAGATACCAATCAGAGGCCAAGTTCCTCTGAACTGACAGCTGTAGATTGACTGGCTGCAAAATTTCGGTCTCTGGCTGAGGTCTGTTGCCCACCACCATCCTACAAATTAAACGGGAATGGAGAGTCACAAGGTGGCCCTCTGAGTAAACCAGCCCCTGCTGCCGGCAGCGCATGGCGTCACTGGGAATAGCCCTCCAAGGCCTAAAGCTCACTTACTTGGGATGCTGGCTGGGGAATTCTGGGAGTTGAAGCCCACAAGTCTTAAAGTTGCCAAGGTTTGGACAACCCCTATTCTAACACAAAACCTGCCACAGGGGCTTTTCTATGGAGGTTCACTGGGGGAAAATTCTGCTTTGGTTTCTGCTTTCTGCTTTGCCCCAACACAATTTAGCTCATTACGGGGGCCCTACCCTGACTAAGCCCTTCGGAAGCCCTCCCGGTGCCTGATGGGGGGAAAAAGCAAGATGGTTTGCTTAGAACTGCCATTTGCAGTTCTATGCTTGCATTCATAACCAAAGGTGGCGGAAGATGGCTAAAGCTTCAGACCTTCTCACAGAGCTGTGCAGGGTCTCTTGTCAAGCCTTCAAGGAATGGCTTCTCTGCTGCAGAAAGGTGTTCCCACTGCCAGGAGAAACCCCACAGCAACAGGCAAGGAAAGCCTGCCATGGGCAGCCATCTGTCTGCTGACCTCAAGGGGAAAGAGCTCACAACAGACATACCTGGAGATCTTCAACTGGGTGAGTTGGATATCCATCTTGTCAATCACCGGAGGAGGCATCTTCTTCTCCCCAGAGACCAGGGTGAATTCGTTCCAAACTCTGATTAAGCCAAGATCGGCTATCAATACATTGTTGGACACGGAAGACTGAGGGATCAGGATGACGGGAGCTTTCAGGTTGATGTCCATCGAGAGGCGAAAGCTCTTCTGAGCAAAATCCTTCATGCTGGAGGCGGCCTTTTCTGCGGCTTGAACCGTGGCAGCGCTCAGTGCCTCCTTGGCCGTTTGGAAGTGGTTGAGAAAATGCTAAGCAAGGACAGAATTACAAGCCTAATTAAGCAGCACCGCTGGAAGGTCAAGAAAGGACAGTGTAAATGGATCCCCCAGGTGAGTAAAAAGAAGTGAAAACAAGTATTGTTCTGTAAACTGTCCAACCACCTCATTCTCAAGTGTCACAATGTAAAGGAAGAAGAAGTAATGACCAAGCTCTGCACTGCCAGGACCAATTTTATTCTCTTCCGTCCTCTGTGAGGAGACTGGGATTTTGAGCCTACACATTTGAAAACTGCAGCGTAAGCCAGTGTTTCTCAACCTTAGCAACTTTAAGATGTGTGGACTTCAACTCCCAGAATCCGCTTCATCTTCCGGATCTGAGAGATGAAGCGGATTCTGGGAATTGAAGTCCACGCATCTTAAAAGTGTTCAAGGTTAGGGAAGACCGATGTAAGTTAACAGAAAGAAGAAGCTCTCTTACCAGAAGCGTCATGAAGAATTTGTGCACATAGACGATCTGAACGCAGCCCACTTTCAGAGACATTTTGCCATCAAACTTGGACATGTCCATGTAAGCGTCTCCTTCGGTGGCATCGGAATAAAGGGACATCGTGAACCGGAAGACTTCGTCTCCCACTATCGAGACTATCTGCAAAGATCACAGGGACCATGATTATCTCTCTCTTCGATACTATCCATCATGAGCTGGTCTGCCCTGACCCACAGCAAGAAAAAAGGGTCCCTGGGCTGTCGGATCATGACCTAAAACAGCCCCTGCCCCTCAGAAGTTTCCAGCTCCACCAGGCCGCCCTCCCTGTCCTCCAATTCAGTTTCTCCATCTTGAGGGAAAAAGGCGACGTGCAAACAGGCCAGAGTGTGCAATCCTACCCTGTGTGCATTCAGATGTGCTCTTTTTCCTCTGAGAGTCTCTTCTGTTCCTAACTCTGCCAAACTGGTCCATGAGGCTCATTTCAGTACTCCCAATGTCACGCTCACCTTTTTATGAACCGTTTCCGGATCGACGTTGGTTATGATGACATCCCGAAGCCGGGCAAAAACTTCAGTGTGCTTTGTTGTGGTAAACACACAGGCCTCCATGCCTGGGGAGGAAGGAGGACAAAAATAAAAGGGGATGTCTTCCATTTTTTATTGAAGTTTGGACACCGGGATTTTTCTTAGGGAATTTACACTTAATCCATTACTAGCTGCTATAGGAAATGTATTTGACCCAAGGACTGAAAGAGAAGAATTCTATCCTACAGCAATAGCAGAGTTAAGTACGGTAATTGGGAAGGAGGAGAGCTGATTTTTTTTTTAATTCCTGTGCATTATTTCAAATGCGCTTACCTTGAATTCGTATATCTGCAATATTAGCTTTCTGGTCACAGACCAAAACGTTAAAGGCATTCAATTTGGCAGTGAGCTTCAAGTCGAACACATCATCAGGGACGGCTGCAGGGGCAGCATCTGAGGAACAAGAAGAGATTGGTCAGCATGGTGGGCCTTCCTCCCCAGCCATGCGCCTCAATCTTCCTCTTCCTCCTCCCTGGTCTTGTAGCAGTGAACACACCGATGCTTTGTGGCCCCCACTCCTGCTGCTTCAAACCCATGCAAAGAAACTTGGAAATTCAAAATGCTTCTTAAATTAATGAATTTAATTGGCTCATCATGATCAAAAGGGATCACCTTGGTTCCTCAGTATTAAATAGGATTGGCAGAAAGAGAGAGAGAGATCAACCCTCCGATACCTGATTTTGCAACAGCTATTTTGGGATCTTCTGATGGTTGCTCTACTTCAGCCCCCTTCTCAGCTGGCGTGAGGCCACTTGAGGCAGATGTGAAAAAATTCATGATAGAAAGCAAGGCTTCGGTGTGCAAAAGTAAGTCTAACGAAGAAAAGGATACCTGGAAAAAAAAGAAAGGAAATACATGAAGGAGGGATCGCTCACCTGAAAACAGGTTTTTCTCATTTAAAAAGGCCTTTCAGCCCATGTAGGATAAATGGGAGTTATTTGGCTTAAAAATCCAATTGGAATCTGAACTCTTTTAGTTAAACTAGCATTTGTTCTCCAAAGGACATCCTACCCTGGGTAGCTAAGTCAGTAAGGTGACAATACTCACATTCAGCAACTGCTTTGTTCTGTTGTAAACGGTGTCGAAGTGAGGACCATCAACATTGGCCTAAACGAGAAACACAATTTCAGTTTGCGGCAGAAGGCGAAGCCATAGCAAAGCACACGCATATTCACGCCAACTGTTACGTTCAGGCAGGGAACATTCAAGCTGTGGGACACAGCACTGCAATCCAAGCTCCTCTTGGTCCAATCCCACCACTGCGCCACCTTGTCGTTTTTTACTGTATCCTGCAGGCAGCCCTGGGTTCAACATCTACCTATTTCTGCCAACTGTTATCTCAGTAGAGGAAGCCCCACACTATGTCATCCTTAGAAATGCCACAGAAGAGTCCAAGCTGGGCATTATTCGATTCCCAAGAAAGAAAAGGCGAAAGGAAGATGCGTTGCCTTCCTCATGAGCCCCCCTCTGTATGTAACTGACAGAGAGACCAACCCAATCCAGCCTTCTAGCAGAAACCTCTAGCAATTAAGATTCAATTCGGCTTTTTGTAACATACATTTGCATTATTTCACTTTGATCCTCTGTATAAAATACACTGCCATTTTTGCTTTAAGCATCCACTCAAAATACCCCACAGTAATTTTTAGTTTTAAAGAAGTGCTTAACCTTAACATATTCCATCTTTAGAAGATGCTTGCCAGATTCATCTGAAGAACTAATAATATTTAATGGATCTCCTTTGGAATCTGTAGAAAGAATAAAATTCATACTTAAACCATTGTAAGCCAAAGCCACTCACTGACAACAGAGTCCCTAAGAAAGGAAAAGTGGATTGATACAGTAAAGAGGGTAATTTCTTCATCGATACAATCTTCTTCAAAAGAATAATCAGTAGAATTTCAGAGAAATTACCCAAAATATACAGTAAACAGATACTTCATAAGCTTGATGAGGTCCTCCTGCCTAAGGAGGAGAATCTGGGTTGTTTTAGGATTAAAAATTTACATTCCACTAATCATTATTTCACCAAGTTATACCATATCTCAATGTTAGTTTTTCTCTTTAGGGATTTTTTTTTAGTCAAAACGAACCAAAACTCTGACAATTCTAGCCATAGATATTCTCTAATGTCATTTTTAAACTACCCAAATTTTAAATTTTATGATTAAAGGAACATGGAAAATGGGAGTCTTTATGGAAAAATAGCAAGTTAAACAAGACCCTTTAAAATGCTTAAAATTCAAATAGAGCTTTGCACGACGAGTAAGAATAAAAATTCAAAACACAAAATTGAAATATTTAGAGAAATGTGATCTGCAGCTTAACATTGTCCTCTAAAAACCTGTGTGTAATCTGAGTTACATTCATTTGGGAAATCCTTCATTAAATAAGACTTACCAGTGAATTCAAGGCAATTCATCTGGACTTTCTTAAGATATGCTGTAAGAGTCATATCGTGCATTTTTATTCTACCTTCACTTCCAAGTTTTAATACTGTGAGCCTGTATAAAGGAAAGCTTTGCTTTTCCACTTGCTTCGTTAATGTTACTAAGACCTGAAAGGGGGAAAATAAAGTATATGAAAGATAGCATGGACACATAAAAATACACCAGCCATTCATATTCCAGTTGTCTATCTACATTTGCCATTTTGCCAAACCATCTTCAAGGGGGGGGGGTAGTGTGCTGCAGGAAGAAACAAGAATTCACGTCTGTCAGATTCACAAATATGCCAAAAATCCTGGAATCAACAGAGCCTTTAATCAGAACAGAACAAGTTATGATCTCGACTTGTCCTGATGGAGGCACCATCCAAGTGGCTCTGATTCAGGAATACTGAGACGCCCCACCATTTCTCACCAGCCAGAATGAGCCTGGCAAGTGGGGTGCTAACCTACTGCCCCATCTCTTTTCAGCCCTCCTGCCCACAGGAAGGCAAAACACAAGCTTTGCCAAGTTCAGCCATTGGCATCACCTAGAAGGGCAAGGGCAGGGAGAGGCCCTCCAGAGAAATACTGAAAGCCCGCTGGGAATAAACTGACGGGTGGACCACTAACAATAACCCGCTCTTCCGGTCTGGGTGAAGCCAGAAAGGAGCTGGAGGAAAGAGAACAAATAAGGCTGTCCTTGCCAGCACCTATTCAGGAAACAGGATACATTGGGTCTGAATTAGCCTTAAGCTGCTGCTGCTGCTGCTACAGGCCGATTCAGAAGTTGAATGCTCCACTGCCAAGCAAATAAGCGGTATTTAAAATAAATAAATAAATAAATAAATAAATAAATAAATAAATAAATAAATAAATAAATAAATAAATAAATAAGAGGATCCATGGGCAATTACAACTGAATCAAGGCAGAGATTCATAAGTCCCCTACCTTGTTTATTTCAAAGTTCAGCAGCAGGCTGGTTCTATCTTCCGTCAGGGCTTCTCCCGAGATGCTGGATTTCGGGGTCCCAGCCAACGGCACCATTTCTTTTGCCTTGCCTGCTAATTCCAAAACAAGAGACGTCCATTTAAAGAAGGCCTGTTCACACCTTGCTGCAAAACCAGTGCTTCTTTGTGAGTTTAAGTCATGAGCTGTGAGCCCGGATCAGGCCAAGAACACCTTTCGGTCTGCTGCCACCTGCCTGCCTGTCCACAGAAGAGCACTGGCAGATTAGCTCCCTCCTAAACTCCCTGCAGGAAAAACCTCCAACTACGCCACCTGGGAACAGGGACCCATACAAAGATTTCCTACCTTCCGTCGACTCTGCTGGTTCTGCCCCAGGGTCGGTTTTGTCTGCTTCAGCCAGGTTTTCATTCATAACTTTAAGCAGAACATTTAAATCCTCCTGACTCAGGATAACCTAGAAACAGGGGCATTTCGAGGGGAGGTTACGTTTCTTCAGACTGAATGAACCGCCACTGAACAAGGGGGACGAACCCCAACCCTGCCTGTCGAATACAAATATTCATCCGCCTTCTTGGCAAACCCCTCCATAGTTTTTATAACTCCAATCTTTCTTACTTCTGTGGTAAACAGGGCAAAGTGAAGGTTCCATTCAAGACCATTATGGGAACCATAACACCATAACCATCATCCATCTAAAAATCCTCTCTGTGGTTCTTCTTCCTCCTTCAATATCCCAAAGGCCACATTTGGGGGTCCTTGGGGGGCTAAGCCTCAGCAAAAGCCAGGATAACAAGGTTACTCTCCCAAGTCACCATAGTCTCAAAGGGGGCCTCTAAATGGGGGACAGTTCAGCAAAGCCGAACACAACCCTCTGGAGAGGATGTAGACCAGAAAAGGCACCTCTCTTCATACTGGAATTAATCAAGAGCTGTTGAAGAGGTCAGAATCCAAGAATTCCTGATAGAATGAGGAATGTACAATGAAGGATTCTCCCTGCCCCCCCCCCCAAAAATAGAGCTGCAGCGTAGTCACGTGAGCTGCTTTTGAAAAGCCCAGCAGCATCTGGGAACGAAGCCAGCTGCGGGACCTGCCATTCCTTTCCTTTTAAATGGAGAAATGTCTTTCTTGCTATCTTTGGTTTCCCCTCTATGGGGACCCTGGGAGAAATGTACCAGCTGCACGAGGGAAGAGAAATTAACTTACGCTGATGGTATCAAGGTAACCTCGGACTTCCAGCAGGGGTATTTTGTGATACCACATCCCAGCCAGGTTGCGGTTGACTGAAAGGTCCAGATTAATGGGGTGCAGAATTTGAATGTCAGGCTGTGAAGCCCCTCGCTGCAAGACTGTCCTAGAGGAAGTCACACGATTATTGTGGGGTTAACGTGACGGAGCCCTCCCCAATCACGCTGCGCTTCACGGGTAAACAGGAGCCGGCTTTACCTGGACAGCTTCAGCTGGGTGAGGTGCACCTCCATTTTATCCATGATGGGAGGCAGCGAGCAATCCTCCGCTGGCACCAGGCTGAACTGGTTTTGTATTTTAATCAGCCCAAGATCAAAGACCACAGCATTGCAAGAGACAGAAGACTGCGGGACGACGATGACGGGGGCCTTCAGGTTGATGTCCATGGAGAGGCGGAAACTCCTCTGGGCGAAGTCCCTCATGCTGGTGGCAGCCTTCTCGGCAGCCTGCACTGTAGCAGCGCTCAAGGCCTCAGTGGCAATTTGGAAGTTGCTGAGGAAATTCTGTGACAAAGTAAGAGGTTTGCAGGTCAGGAATGGGGCGAGGGAGCAGTGGACCATTACTTAACTGTGATATTTAAGTGACACATTTTTCAGCTTCCTGTTACTCATATGACACAGAGAGAGAGACTGTTTTTTGCATCCCAATATAAAAACTTCCTTCCATGCCACGTGAAAAACAGAACAACAACAACTCCCAGTTGGCAGTCTTACCAGGAGTGTCATGAGGAATTTGTGTAGATATATGATCTGAATGCAGCCCACTTTGAGAGCCACAATTCCATCCACTTTGGACATATCCATGTAAGCTTCTCCCTCAGTGGCGTCTGGATATAAGGCCAGGTTGAAACTGAAGACTTCATCGCCGACTATGGAAACCGCCTAGAAGGTGGGCAAGCAAAAATATCATGGGCTGGATTGGTAGTTTCTAGTTGGGTATCCAAAAGATGAGTTTGCAATGCTCGACAAGCGCATGGAGCCCTCGCTGGTTCTTCAAGACTGCAGCTCTAAAGCCAAGCTGGACATGGAGAATACCCAAATGGGCTCGGACCGAGTTTGCACAGGCTGTTTCTTCCAAAACACCTGGAGAAGAAACTTCCCGGATGCCCTCGTGGGGTGTCTCTTGGTACAAAATACAGGAGAGCCGTTCTGGTGCTCAAAAGTCTTGCAATCAAAGGAGTAACTGTACCTTTTTATGAATTGTCCTCGAGTCAACATCAATAACAACAACATCTTTCAGCCGGGCAAAGAGAATAGTTTGACTGGACTGCAGAAAAAGGAAGGAGTCAAGGCCTGAAAGGAAAAAAATGGTTAATTATTTGCTAAGAACCATAGAAATGAAATCTCAGAGCCCTAACTAAACCTTTACTGTGTTATTCAATTTCCAAAAGTATTTTGAAGCTGCTGTAGAAATATTTCTAAGATCTGGGCCACTGAATATATTGGGACAAAAGCCGAGGAAGTTATCTCTTTCTGTCCTGTCTTTGTGGACCACTTGAAGTGCCCAGATCTATGCCCAACTGCCTTCCCCCCTCCCTTCATTTCAAACCAGCGGAAACGCATCTATTTAACTGACCTTCCGCTATACAAGATCAGAATTGAGTGAAATCAAAGTCCTCCAATAGATGGGATATATTTCAATAATTCAAGCTTAAGAGAATGTTCTCGACAGCTTGGAAGAACTGAATAGAACAGGCATTTTCCCGTTACCTTGAACTTTTATTTCAGCAATATTGTTCTTCTCATCGCAAATGTTCAAACAGAAGGCCTCCATCTTGGCAAAGAATTTGAAATTAAACACATCCTTGTCCTTGCTCGTTTTTGCCACTGTAGAGAGAGATTTTTTAAACAAATCAACAAGATGTAGACCTGTTCCAGGCCATCCTGAATGAGGAGAAAACGGCACCCAAATATGGCTGCCCATTACCTTCCTTCCCAGCAGACTCCGTCCTCTGGGTCTCTTCCCGTCTCTGCAGGGCTGGTGGCTGCTTCTCCCTTGCTGGGACCACAGCCATGAGATACCCCAGGGCCGAGAGAAGAGCCTGGGTGTGCAGCACCACTTGGAGGGAGGAGAAGGTCACCTGTGGGGTTTGGGGGGGGGAAAGGCACCTCTTCAAAAGCATGATCTCCCCATTCACCCAACACTCCACCAGAATCACTTCCTTGATGCCCAGGAATTACATTGTTGATTTGGGGGAAAATAGGGCACCCCTGCATCCTGGCTTTCCTGCACATTTCATAAATGGGTCTCAGTCCAACATCCCCAAGTGAAGCAACCATTTTCTTAAGTGTAGTTTGGGTTCTCTATTCTTAGACTTACTTTCAAATGTCATCCGACACCTCACGATGGCTAAAAGGGACTCAAGGCCCCTTCTTCATCTGACTTAGCAGGCTAAGGACACAGCAGGCTATTTCAAAATGAAGGAGGGCCAAAGAGAGGGGACACCTTCCTGGACATGGTCGAGAGCAGCAACACAAACAAGGGTTTATCAAAAGCCAGGCACCACTCAGAAACCTGCTTAGTCTTTTCTACCCAACCCACTCTCTTGGTAGGGAGTTGAGGGGTCTTCCTTACTCAGCCTTATTTACAATTAAGGTTAGGATGAGTTTTCTTAAATTTTCCTTACCTCCATTCTTTGTTCCGTATTGTCAAAAACTGTCTGAAATTTTGGACCATTTTTATCAGCCTGAGGGGAAACATAACATGTGACTGAAAATTGAAACACAATTTTCATATTGTACACAAAGCCATTATTTGAACATGCCGTTCAGTACGTATCATTTGGTAACATTTTTTTTAAAAGGTCTTTACCTTGATATATTCTACTTTCAAAAGGTCTAATCCGGAGACATCCGATGAACTAATCAAATGAACTTCCTGCCGTTTACCTACAAAAATATAGGAGATCTAAGAAATGACAGGTTATGTAAAGCCTGCATGGCTTTTTAAACTAAGCCTTTTCTGTAATTAGCTCTTTTAAACAAAATCCATAACAATTTTGTTTTGTTTTTTTTAGATTAAAACTTTAGATTTTTTTGGGTAGAAAGTTTTTTTCAGGCTAATCAAATCACAAATCAAATCATTCTTTCTCACCCCTGTCCAAAAGTACATTTTTGTAACTGCTTAACCTATTAACGAAATTACCTTGAATTTCATAATAATTCAGGCTAATCTTTCTCAAGTAAGACTCAGCTCTCAGGTCGAATGTTCTAGCAGTAGCTTCCATCCCAAGCTGCTGCACGTTAAATACAAGTATTGTTTCTTCTCTCTGCAGCTGCTTGGTCAGTTCCAAAATCACCTAAATAAGAGACACTTGCTGAATTTTGAAATCTGGGCATCTTCAGTTACAGACAGGCCTCAATTTGTGAACTGAACTTCAATCTCTAAAGCGATGCAGGAAAAAAACCCCACACTTGCCTCCTTAATTTCAAATTTTAATTGCAGGTTTGTCAGCTCTTCCTGAACACTTTTAGTCTCATTCTTTAGCTGTTTTTTTGGGGGGTAAACCACTTTCTCTGGTTGTTGGGGATAATCATCAGAATCAAAATATTCATCCTCAGATTCTAAGGAACAAAGAAAGTGCTATTAGGGCATTCTGTGGGCATCAAAATATTCACTTTGGAATGGACTAGTTCATCAATGTTTAAATAAAATTGGATTTGTACAGTCATTTGCAGGGGGGAAATTCCATTTGCCATAACTTGATTTTTTTTAAATGTCCCATTTAAAGATTTTAACGCAAAGTTGTCTAAGCCACAAGTATGCTTTCTAAAATAGCCAAGCGCCTTGGATTTGCCGTAGTTTTGGATGCCCCCCCTTTTTTTTTACCTGATTCTAATTCTTCCAGCAATAGTGTGGCACCAAGGAAGTCTTTCCTTCCATCAGAAACCACAGGAATGGCAGGAGCCTGCAAAAGAATGCGAGACAGTGAGAAACCACTGGATAATATTTTCATATCAATCTACATACAACACTTCAGGTTGGAATGTTCTCACAGCAGTGCCAAGCTGGCATGACTGCTTCACTAGTATTTGTTACACGTTTGACCTTTCTGTGTCTCGGAAATGCCAACTATTATGCTAATTACTGGCTGTACTTTCCCCAAATGTACAAAGAGTTTGATACCTTTGCACTTGAAACTGAAACATCGGATTTCTGTGGGAGAGGAATGCTGTCAATAAGCTCAAAAACCCCTTTGATCTTCTGATCAGAAATTCTCAGGTGAACCAAAGGAAGCTCTCCTGACACTTTAAACCTAAGGATATAAAAATGTAGAAGAAACAGAACTAGGTTGCCAATAATGCCGCTACACTCTTGATCTAGAAGGTAAAGCACGCACGCACACAGAGAGACCAAAACCCAGCAGGGCTGTGAAATTGGCACCCACTGCATAGAAGGCACCATCAAAGGAAATATAATTAACATCTTGTTTTTACAAACAAATGCACTGATCTCTGACTACAAGGATATGAAGTGAACCACCAGCTCAACAGCTTTCTTTCAATTGGGTCTAAAGTAATGATTTTGAGAAACATCCAAGAAATGTTAAGGTACATCTGGAAAGCTTTTTAAAAGACCATTAGAAGGTCTCCAGGGAGACTGGCTGGCTACTTTGTCCCGAGAAGATTTGGATACGTAAATTTCATGGCATTGATCAGTAGTTTCAGTGTGCCAAAGGCCACGATTAAAAATAACTCTTCCAAAAAAAACCAAAATGAAAAGCAAGCCATGAATTCCCACTCCTGCCCAGGATGCCACTCTAGCAATATTTTAAGAGGTCTGGAGCAGCAACAAGCACACTGAATAAAAGGCCAGCTCCCTAGCCACAAAAACGCGGCCTGCTCCACCTTTAGGCAACGTGAAACAACTGAACCATATTTACAGCTTTTAAAATTGCTACATTACTTTGCCATTCTGACGTCCTTCTCCACCATTGATTTGGCAACTTGGATACACATGTCCATGGGACGCAATATGTGCAGCAAGGATGCGGGCTCAGACCGGGCTTTTTTCCAATCTTCCCCTAAAATGCAATTAAAGAGTTGCTAATATTTTGGTAATTCTAGCATGATAATAAATAATATTGATGCATAAAAGTCTAGTAAGCCCTAGCGATACCACAAAAAAATACGAAAAATTCAGTATGCGCACCTGCCAAATTCCAGAGAAGTAAATAGATTCGAATTTCAAGGTTTATAGAGTTAATACTGTACCATTTGTGCCAACTGCTTTCCACTTGATATGCACTCAAGAATGTTTGGGATTTAGAGGCATCATACCTGATCTGCCAAACAGCAGTTGTACGTTCTTGATTTCTACATCAAATTTGTCATAGGCTTTGTCCATGATCTCTTCTAAGGAACTGCCTGAGTTCTGCTGGTGACCTTGGCTGATGCTCTTCAGCTGTTGAATGATAAGTTTCTCTGCAGCTTAACATGCAACTGTCACATAGTTTTCACAAATGTGTCCGTAAACACAATTGGCCCACAGCTGTATTCATCAGCACTCAATGGGATGATGTTAGACCTGAGAGGAACACATTCCTCTTTTCCGCCAAGTTTTAATTTATTAATTTCTTGCCTTCAATCTTTAAGAAAGATCATCATGACCTACCTGGAAAGTACCTAGGTCCAAAATAAGTAAGTTTGACTTTTCATGGTGGAAGCCAGTTTGTGGGATAAGAAGATAGGAAGGCTTCAAGTTAATCCTGAGGTCCAGCACTTTTCGTGTTTCAATGATATGCATCAGCCCTAAGACAGGAAACAGAATGGAGCTGAGACGAGCACCTTCCCCTTCCCCCGCTGGAACAGAATTCTGCTTAAAATACACCACAACCCCCGGGGGCAGTGGGAAACTCCTCTGCAGCTGCAGGGTCAAAAAGGGGCTACTTAATCATCTGATGTATCCAAAACAGACCTGTGGCAGTCCTCTCTTTAATTTCTTCCAGTTTCGACAAGGTGGCCGTGGTTAAGCGTTCAAGGTCCATGCCTCGGTTAGTTTGGAAGAATTCCACCAGGGCGTTGATTGTTCTCTAAGAAAGAGAGTTATCAACTGAATCTCTTTTTTTTCTCATGGAACGGCAAACACAGAAATAGGAAAGGAAGACGATCAAACTGAGAACCGAGAAGCATTTCATGCCAATCTCACTCACCGCATCGTAGATGATTTCTACGGGCTGCGACTGAACGAAGAGGCTCTGGTCAGCCACGCTGTCTTCCGGGTTGGTCTCAAACTTGATCTCAAGCAGAGACGACTCAGCGCCCCCAATGGAGGCCACGAGAGAAGGCACAATGTTCCGTTGCCTCAAGCCCGTCATGTACCAATGTTCAAGTTTTGCCTCTATCCTGCAAATTATCAACAGGCAACTGGTTTTTCCTCCTCAAACTATAAGGAAGCAATTGTACGAGGTTCCGTCTTAAAGAGGAGAAAATGCCTGTACAATTAATGAAAAAGAAATGAAAAGGCTGACAGCCCAGCTGATGCAGGAGTAGGAAGAGGGCCCGAACTTTAACCTAAGAAGTGCCCACGAGATTCTGGTTTTGTTCTGCCAAACTGTTACAGGCCTACCATCAATGATACCACAGAAATCACCTTTTCAATAAACCGAGAAGCCCAGATTCACACAACGCACAGAATGAAATTGGAACTGGCACTTACTTCAGAGCTTGCGCGCCCGGCCTCTGCGAGATTTTAGTGCTTAAATCGATGATCTGAATTTTGAGAGTGTCCGGGACATGCCTGTCCTCTTTAATAGTAAAGGAGGTGCTTAGGAGTTTCAGGGAGACCACGTGGGCCACATACTAAACGGGAGACCAAAGCATTGCAGAGCATTAGTCGTATCATCGAATGGGGTGTTTTTATCATAAACGTCAGCCAGACATTTATTTTTATTTTATTTTATTTTATTTTGAATTTGTATACCGCCCTTCTCTCTGAGGACTCAGGGCGGTGAACAGCCAAGTAAAAACATCAAGTACAAATATTAAAATACAGTTAAAATATACATATATAAATTTGGCCCCAGTAATTAAAAACAATAAACAAAACACTTAAAAACACTTAAAAAATTAGGCCAGCCCAGCTTGCTGGAAAAGGAAGGTTTTAAGGGCACGGCGGAAGGCACTGAGGTCTTGGACACGATACCCGGGGTCCCCTCCCCTTCCCCAACACAGGGTAAGAAAGATGAATTACAGCCCACTTGTAAGTTTCACCCGCGAGAAATGGAGACGCTCATCTGTGGTGCTCCAGCTTTAATCCAAAGGCGCAATTACCTTTTTGGGTAAAGTCAGGTTGTGGGAACTGTCGCTGTACCCGATGGCGGTGAACAGCTTTGCCTTCTCTTCAGGGGTCATGAGGTCATCGATAGCTGCAGAAAGGGTGGAAGGTGTTATCTTGGAGAAGGAAGGGCTGGCACTTAGCCCCTCGGGTGGCCCTTAGGCTGAGCTGGTACCAGGGTTCATTTGCCTTCCCTTCGGCCGCTTCTGTTCAGTTTGGTAGCTTCATCCCATGACTGCTTTAATGCTCAGCCCTTTGCAACCAGCCACTCTGTGGTCTCGGGGCTCCTGGACAGACTCAGACTTACTTTCAGGGACTGACGTGTCTTCTTCTTCGTCTTTCTTCTTGGGTTCCTTCCTGCCCCAAAAGCCAGAAAACCAGCCACTTTTCTTCTCCCCATCTGCGGATTTCTTGGAGAGTTTTTGTCCTGACCTCACAATCTACAAATCAAAGGATCAGAGGTTCTGCACTTTCACCAGCCTCAAGTTCAGCAAACAGAAATAAATGTATTCTTTATACAAACTAAACAATCCCCCAAATACTAAAATTGTAGGAAAAACCACCAAAAACGGCCATTTTGCAATCGTCGAGTATGTATGCCAATAGCTAGTTTATGATCACTACTGAAGAAATAAAATGGCAAGATTCCTTCGAATGAAATCATTCGCAAAGGGCACAAAGTTGTGTTAGCATATTACAAACAGCTTCTCAATGTGCTGTTTTTAGAAACACTTCTAAACAGTTTTGCTGACAATGTAACTTGCCCTGGAAGTATTTCTATTGATGGTCAGTGCAGCCATTTCTAAAGCAGGTGCGTAAAGCTCACTCAAATTAACTATTGTAAAATCCTTATAAAAGGAACCGGGGGGAGAGGGGGAACGACCTACCTCGGTTTGTGCTTGTTGCCTTGCTAAAACAATGTTGAAAACATCGAGAGCCTTCTCCAAGTCCTGTGGAGCAAATGCAGACATGGAGTTTCTACGACCTTCCTCCTCCTCCTCCTCCTCCTCCTCCTCCTTCTCCTCCTCCTCCTCCTCCTCCTCCTCCTCCTGCTAAGGCTATGCCCTGCAGCTGCCAGCCCTTCTGGCCTTGGTTCAATTACCTGGATTTGTTTCTGATTTTCCTCTGACAATTTGGTTTGTGTCAGTTTAACTTTGTAAGCATTTTTGTAACTTTTCAGAAGTTGCCTGTGGCTCTTTATATGATTCCACGACCACATCTGTGTGTATCGCTTGATGTGAACGTCAAGAATGCAATTTCCTGCGTACTTCCACCTGTAAGAAACAATCACATTATTTCACCCTGGGAAATAAACAAGAAACCATTTGAACGAACAGGAACAAGACCTGGAGCAGGCAGGATATTTGCAGGCAAGAATTTCTAAGCCTAGCATTTCCTCAACTGAAGGAGTTTGTGCTCCTAGTTGTTCCTCTGCAAAATCTTCCCTTAATTTTTGTGGCCAAAGCAGACAAAACAATTCTTCTTTCAATATTTTAAAATACTTCTGAAAATACCACTTGCTTAGGAGGACTTTTCCGCCCCTCTCCTTTGGGATTCAACAAAGGCTGCCCTTTGCTGCACTGAAGAACTCTTGTAATACAGAAATATCTGCACAGCTCACCACTGTTGGGCATTCCCATGCACAGGTACTTCGGGTCTGTATTTTCTATACGGGACATTTCGGACCATGTAATCAATGGATTCCAAGAGATCAATCATACTAAGGTACTAAATGGAGAAAAAAAACACAAGAGGAATCTTAACCAGAGAAGCATTGCCCAAGAAGATGCATCAAATGTTTCTAACAACTGTACACAGCTCAGGGTTCCTGGGAACACCCCTTCATACAGGAGAGTTTACAGAAGTCGTCACCTGCCTTCCGGGGGGGGATCCGAATGGGTGACATGCATCCCCCTACCTGAGGCTTGGTGAGTTCAACAGCGATGCTCTGGACTTCCATGGCCCAGTCAATCTTGGGAGTTTCCAGTTCTTCTTCGGCATGAGGGTTAAGGTAGAGTTTTGCAGAAGCCGATACGGGCTTAAATACTTTCAAAAAAGAGAGAAAGAGAGAGAAAATTAGGAACTCGTTTCTATAAAAATCGAAGTGAAACCATCGCTGAAATTTTCTGAATTAAAATATGCTACTCTACTCATTACTGGTTGGGTATAAACTATACTAGTAATGCTGCGGCTTTGGCATAGGATACCTGTCATGCGCTACCAAAAAACGTGGTTTATGAATCACAACTCCCGTAGGTGAGCTCAGACAGCATGATGGTGCCAACTTCAGCACAAGAGACGACATGAACTCTGTCTGACCTACTTCTTTCATCATATCCTCTCCTTCTGCTTCTATTCCTATCCGAATATTAGACTTCTTGGCTAAATTCTTCTCCACAGCACAACTCCATGGCCATGAGAGCCTTACCCACCCCACACACATTTTCTTTACCTGGTGGCAGGCTTCAGTGAGTCCCTACAGAAACCACACCTCCTTTGTGTAAGCCCCAGCTTCATCCTCACGAGTTTGCCCACTCTTCCAACCCATGGACCATCTGCCGTTACCAGAGGTGAATTCTGCGCCTTCAGTTCTGTCCTTCCCACTTACTGTACTGATAGTCAGGAAGCTCTTGGTTCATAGAAGGGACTCCTTTTTTCAACCGCTCCTGTACACGGCAAGAAACCAACAACCTTTCAAGTATTTCAGTGATAAATGCCTAGGACAACATAGTCTGGATGAAGCTCATGTGACAATGTGGAGAACTCACCACTTTTAAAGGAGGCAGAGTTCATGCTACAAAAATAACTTAACTTAGAAGTTATTTTCCTTCCAGAGAACCTGTGTACTGAACATCCCCGATTAGCCTTTCACGCGTAGCCTACAATATCTGCTCTTTGGCTGCAAAATGTCCACACAGTAATGGGTCTGGTGATTTTTTTTTTAATTTGGAAAACATGTCAGAATGTGTCACTTCTCTCTTGCCTCATCAGAGGAAACAATGCAGGAAAAAAAAACCAGGCGTTATATTTGAGAGGCAGTGTCCCGTTGCGAAATTGCCTGATTTGAAGTTAATGTTTATTAAATTCTCCCTCTATCTGGGGCACTGTTCAATGCTACCTGAGGCATTCTGGGAATTGAAGTCCTCCCATCTTAAAGTTGAAAAGCCTGAGAAACACTGGTGTGGAAGAAGACTCCCGCTTCTCAACTTACAAACTTGCCCATTAAATCTGGCCAGTCGTGGGCTTTGGGGGTGACATCATGCAAAGGAAATTTCCTGAAGTGGAAGTCCTTGGCTGCTGGCTAATCTCATCTTATATTACTGGTCTATCAACTTTATCAGTGAAAAGACAGGAAGAAGCTGGTTCACAAAGTACAATAAGATTTAAATTACCAAGATTTGCTCCCGGGAAGAGCGGTAATACATTTCACTATCCACATTCCAGTAGACACTGAGGGAATCAAGGCTCAAAAGCTGAAAGGAAAGATGCAATTGGTTAGGGGCTGCAACAAAGAGCGCCAAGGACCCCTCAAACAGCAACAGAGTCAGAGGAGCATTTGCAGAAGCGCATCAAAGGACAGGCGTTTACCGAGGCAGATACAAAGCCAGCCAGAACAATGTTGTTTGAGGGGAACGTTGCCTTGATCTAGACAAGCTGCCAAAAGGACTTCTGGGGCTGGCAGCCAATTAAGGAGTTGTTCTGCTTGCCCGAGGGAGCATCAAAACATGCTTTTAAAAGGCCGGAGCACAAGCCAGCTTTCAAAAACCGGTATCTGAGCTTTTGGGGAAGTGAGGAAGAAAGAGGCACCGAGAATCCACTATTCACAGGGTAAGAGATCAAAAGCCCTGCCACGGTGGGTCCAACCCTTCAGGCTTCAGCGCTATGCATCACTAAGCATGCTGGCCATTAAAATTCATGTCCCTGAATACGCTTTTCCAGGTACCTCTAGGAGCTGCTAAAGAGAAACTGCTGTGCTTGGACCCAAGGACAGCTGTACCTTGTAGATGATCTTCGCAGCCTCATTTAAAATACAAGGAGTCCAGTTGTCATTTGTGGTCTGGAAATAAAAAAAAGACATTAACATGATCCTGCCAGCTTCACACTTCTTTCAGGTGTCAAGCTTTTCTCGCATAGGGAAGGGATTTATTTAGTCAAAGTCTCACAGCTAGAAATGTCTCTTGAAACTTTCCCACTCATTTCCCACTGTTAATAAAGCTGCAATGGGGCTTCCACGGTAATTAAGTAACATTTGTCATTAAGAATGGTTTCCAGTGTGAAAATAAACACAGCCTAAAATAAATTGCCATCCTTTTGTCAGCCCACCAGGAAGTTTTAAACCCCTCTTTCCCTTACCTGCAAGCTGAGCTCTGCCAGAGTCATTCCTAAAGAAATCGGTCGCTTAGGATCTGTGATCTACAAGTACAGAGGAAAATACTTCATAAGGAATATTAAACACCCTAGCATAAATGCATTTGCAGTTTAGTTACATGCAAAAAAAAAACTGCATCAGATCCAAAATGGGTGCTAGCAAATATAATACAGGATTTAGTTGTTTTGCAATTCCTTTCTTTTCACATATTTTGAAGCAAAAACAACCTTCTGTAAATCTTGCACAGGAAAGTTGCCAGCCTCTTCAAGAAACAATGTATTTTATATTTTATTTACTTTTTAAGCCATTGTTTATGAAAACTATTGTACTGATCCTTAGATAAGCAGCCCAGCCCTTCATATAAGAGGCTGCTGCTTCTTACTCTTTGTCAGTTTTGCACAGGCTCCAGGCCACTTACATCATCTTCATACTTAATATGGATGCCGGTGATTTTGACTTGTACGTTTTTGATGACTTGGGTTGCAAGCTTTTCCAAGAAAGTATCTTTCTTCTGTTCTTTTGGCTTATCTAAACAATAATTTGTAAGTTAGTTTCCATCGCATTCCTTCAATTATCATATTAAACATCATCTGTTTACTATCGCTTCTAAGCATTTCCCCTTTTTTTCCCTCTTCTTTGTTACACAGCAAAGTCTAAAGAAGATCTTAGATCTTAACCTAATTTATTAAATCATACAACACACTCCAAAGAGAGGCTACATTTTTTATATTTTTTGAGAAATAGCCAACATGGAAAATATCAAACACAACACACAACTGAATTGTGTCTTAACCATTTTCTCCCCAGTGCTATGAGGACATTTTTTCCAAATCTGCAGCCCTCTTTTCAACACAATGTACAACATGAAAAAGCTTTGTTAGTTTTCCTTTTGTTTCTCTCTCTTTACATTCATTTCTTATGAAAACAATACTGGCAACGATAAATTCACACATATTACTGCAGAATTATTAAAATCAATTTATAAAAAACAGAAGCAGCAAGCAGAAATGTTCAGCAAATTCTGCTCATTGTACCTACCTTTTGAGTGCTCACGAGCTTTAAATGGTTTCTTAAAATGTTTTTTAGTCTTTTTAGACTTACGTCCTTCATAATGTAAGCAATTTTACAGAAAAAGGATAAAGTTAGGAAAGTCTTATAAAGCAAGCAACAGAAATAAAGGGGGGGAAATTAAGAAGGTAACTGAGGAAAATATCATTTTTCATCAGAACTGCTAAATTAAATTTCCACAAGTGCCTGAAATAAAAAATTCACTGCAATATTTATAGGCGTTTCTACATTTTTCATGTAAGTGTAGATAAAATGAAATAGAATAACCTTTTCAGTTGTCAAGATTAATTTTCTAGCTAACAAATTCTCAAAGCTACTTCAAACTGAAACATTAGCATAGTCTTAAACAATTTCAATCTGAATTGAGAAGGTATTTTACTAGCATTGCTTTTTCTCAAATGTCCATCATAAGAAAGATTTTGTCATCAGAAACTGAGAGTCCATGGCTGGCTAGGGAATTCTGGGGGTTGAAGTCCACAAATCTTAAAGAGACCCCTGATGTTGACTGCTAACCTGCAATCCAGCCATTCCACCTCCCTCCTCCAACTGCTTGACTAGAGTGGTTAAGCATGCATACCCACCGGGCGACTGCACAACGCTCTCCAGGCCACGTATGAGATCTGAAGGAGCGCCTTCATCCACAGGACAGCATAATCAAAAAGCAGACATTTCAAAGCAGAGAAGCAACTCTTCAAGCTGAACCAATACATGTTTTTGAACACTGAGGCAAGAGAGCGCCTACGCAATTCAAGAAACAAAACCATGTCCCACAGCCATGTTTGTCTCTGAAAACTTCACTTTACAGGGAGATTCCATGTTTTAAGGGAACCGTCCCTCTGCCCTATTTGGTTTTTAATTAGGCAAGACAAGGGGCTTCTGTCTGAAGACAACATAAAAGACGAAAATGAAAGCATAAAATTCCCAGTATGGTAATATCTCTAGAGCATGGAAAATGAGATTTTCACGTCTCTTCTGTAAAATTAATAAAAACGCAGTTATTTTGCCTTTTGGCATTTTCCAGGACTCTGAAGTAGTTTTGAACACATCAGTCATGTGCACCTCTTAAAAATAATCTACCTTTTTCTGCTGATTTTTGTAAGGCTTCTTCAATTCTTGACAACTCCTTTTGCTTATTATCTTGTAGGTATTTTTCTTCTTTTTCTGCATCATATTTAATGCCTGCAAGGAAAAAAACAAGGAAGTCATATTTTATTCAATATTGCATCCTTAAGGTAGCATCTCGATCAGACCCTCATCCTGCTCTTTTCACATCAACCTATGCAGCCCCTCTTTCCTGTGATGATGAGTTCCATAATTATAATTCTCAGAATCTCCAGAGCGCAGAAATTAAGAATCGGAACCTCAGTATGATTTGTTTCTTAGCATCCATCTGTAATTGGATATTCCTGATCTTCTTTATCCAAACCACACACTTAAGGCCAAGGACATAACCGTAGGGGTAACCGTAGCCTGCTGGAAGGATGTTTCATGTAAGATTTACCAACAAAGAAAGACAAACAGTGTAATCCTACGCAGATTCACCTGGCAGCCAGGTAGGTTCCACGTATTCACAGGACTTAATCTTAGGAAGTCCTGGACTGCAAGGAGAGCCTCAGAGACACATCGGCTTACTTCAACCAACATTTTACCTTGCCTGGATACTTTGTAAAGGACACCAGGAACTCAAGGTTGAAATTTTTTTAATTTCAAATTAGTTCCAAGTGTGAAATTTCACCCACTTTTCTATTTTGAGTACAAAACAGCTGTTTCAAGCATTTTGAGAACGTTTCAAACCACAAAGACTTCTCAATACTCAAAGTGGGAAATGTTATGACATTCTGTGTTCAAAACAGCCAAGGCCTCTCTGCTTTTGCACAGGCTCTGCTGGCCATACATCCTACATAGGGAGATTGGCAGGGCATCGACCCAATACAAGTCCACTGAGCAATGCAAATTTACCCCAAGAAACTTACTTGCCCCAGGGACAACAAGAAGATATAAGCCTTCTAGGGATGCAACGACTGCTTCACCATATAAATTCTTCCAAGGAATCTTCAGAGTAAGCTTATCTAAAAACAAGACATCCTCCATTTAGCTTTCATTTGTTCTGCTAACACATTAAATAAGCTGCAAGCAGAGACCGACTATACCAGCCTCTGCCTTCTGCTTGTAAGAACAATATTCAAATGCACCTTATTGCTTATTCCATGATTTGCACTTGGTCTGTGCCTGGAAACAAACCAACAATAGTAAAATTGTTGCGTCCCTGATTGATGCTAAGTTTACAAAGCCCGTTTTGCTAAATGGGTGACTGTTGAATGCTGGCTAGCTTCAATCTCCAGGTATTTTTCCAGTGCAGCCCCAGAGGATGCCCAGAACCATCTAAAAATCATTCTGAGTGAAGAACTTACCTATTTGACCAGCCTTTACTCTAAACGGTACGTCCAATTCACTCTAATCAAGAAAAAGAAGATACTTTTTTTTAGCACTGACCCATAGTAAAAGTTAATGGTCAAGTCAGGCAGGCTTTGCCCCAGCAGGAAAGGGGACCAGTCACTTCAAGCTGCCTTATTATAGCAATGGTTGGTTTGCAATCTCTTGGGAAGAAGAGTCAGCCCTGAGGTTGGGATGCTGAATTTTCCTTCCTATTCATGCAAGAGTGGAAACATATTTCAGAGAGGCAACTGGGGTGTGGACGACGGGGGGAGGGGGGGCAATGACTCACATAGTTTTTTTGTGATGACAAACTAGATTTTCCATAAATCTGCTCCCAACTCTGACTAGTTGCGTTACAGATGAGAGATCAATTAGGCCAGGGTGAAGATGAAACATGCTTGCTCTAACATGGGAAGTTAAAGAAAGTGCTAGAAGCTCTGGCTTGGCATTTCCTCATTTCAGGACTATCTGGATGGGGCATCTCTTCAACACCACAAAACCTACAGCATGACCCTCATGCTGTGAGTTTGAGTGGCAAACTCAAAATCCAGGATTCTTAAGCCAATCAAAACTGCATTAACTACACTTATTAATGTATTATTAAAATAGCCCAAAGCACATATTTTGGTAGAGAGTAGTTCCCTGAGGATGGGCTCCAGCACAAATCCGAAAGCTCGGAAAAACTGAACTTCTGGTCCTGGTGAACTGACCCAGATTGGATCTTAACAAGTTTGTAAATCATAGTTTGGATCCATGGAGGTAATGAAAAGAATTTGCTGATAACTTCCAGGTTGCTTACCAGAGCATTTTCCTTGATTAGGAGGTTATCAAGGGCCACATTGCCTATAAAAGAAAACAAGATATCTATAAGCCACATTCCCACCATATCTGCCTAATCACAAAAGCTGATGTTTACGCAGCCACAATGACAACATCCACAAATAAAAGCAAGGCATTTTTTAAAAATGTCAGGGGAGGGGAATGCCTCCCCAGCTAAGTATTGAGCATATTTAGTGACTATGAAATATTGGCTTATTTATGCATTTGTCAGTATTTGTAGCCTACTCTCTTCTTGTCAGTTTTAGGAGACAACATAAAAATTAAAACAAGTGTAAAAAAATGATTGCAACCGAAAATTAAACGGGAATGAAATAGGCAGTGCTGGACACATTTGATTTCATTCTTGTTATAAAACCATGAAAGGAACAAAGCAGTGTAAGAATTGTGTTAACTTTCTCATGCTAATTTCAACAGCAGCAACACTAACAAAATTTGGAAGGCGCCATCAACTGAGCAGTGACAAATAAATAATTGACCCAGAGGAAAAACAAAGTTAAGGTTAATCAGTTACGTAGTTTTTAATCTTTTAGAGAAAATGCAGACACATCTGCAAAAAGAAAGTTAACGTACGTAGAGCACAAATAGAACCTTCTATGTACATTGGAACTTCCTCAATCTGAGCAGGAAAGAAACACCAGAATTTTACTGTGAAAGACTAACCCTGAATTTTATTGTAGTATTTGACTCAGGGCCAATTTCTAGAAATGCCTTTTGCTGCAACTTCCTACTGCACCCGGCGCGGGTTTTAGAATAGAATAGAATAGAATTCTTTATTGGCCCAGTGTGATTGGACACACAAGGAATTTGTCTTGGTGCATACGCTCTCGGAGTACATAAATAGAGAAGATACATTCGTCAAGAATCATAAGGTACAACACTTAATGGTAGTCATAGGGAAACAGTCAAAATAAATGTTAAGGATACCAGCAACAGGGTTACAGTCATACAGTCATAAGTGGGAGGAGATGGGTGATGGGAACGATGAGAAGATTAATCGTAGTGCAGATTTAGTAAATAGTTTGACAGCATTGAGGGAATTGTTTAGCAGAGTGATGGCATTCGGGAAAAAACTGTCCTTGTGTCTAGTTGTTCTGGTGTGCAGTGCTCTATAGTGTCGTTCTGAGAGTAGGAGTTGAAAGTTTATGTCCAGGATGCAAGGGGTCTGTAAATATTTTCACAGCCCTCTTTTTGACTGGTGCAGTATACAGGTCCTCAATAGAAGGAGGTTGGTAGCCATTGTTTTTTCTGCAGTTCTACAGTTTTAAAGCAAAAAAGCAGCAGTGCAATTTTTAAACTTTAAATCAAGCTGGCTTGATCCCACAGTTTTGGGTTAAGTTTTAATTGATTTTAAATTGGGTTTGTTTTAAATTGCGGCCAAAAATATTTAATTATTTTAAACTGTTTTTAAATTTTGTATGTCTTGTTTTTTATTTTGGCTGTTCACCGCCCTGAGTCCTATTGGAGAAGGGCGGTTTACAAATTGAAACAATTAAATAAATAAATAAATAAACTTAGTTACAAGTTAGACACAAATTTAGACTCTTGCAACCAAACTGCTGCATCCTCAAAGTACTTTCTTTTTTGGCTTGAAGATCAGAAAGGAACTGAAAGGGAAGCCCCTTTCCATGAACTTTTCCATTTTATGTGAAGCACCCGTTGTTCTGACAGCCTGAATCAGAAGAAGATGCATACAGCTCTCCTCATATCAGTTACCTCTAACCAGAGGAGGGCTTTCCATGAGTTCTGGTGAGGAAAGGAGCCAGAGACCACAGATGCGAGGTTGAATCATGGCTACAACCACGAAGAGCAGAGAAAACTATCAGCCACTTATCTTGATTAAATACAGGGTGAACTTTTTTGGGGAAACTATAGATGCTGATTAATCACAATAAAAGTTAGGGAAGCTAAAATGAAAGGGCAAACTCTGGAGCACTCCGTCCTTGCGCTGTGTTTTTAGCTCTTATCGCAAACCCACAGGAAGAATTAAGAGGACATCTCATTCTTGAAAAACTGCCATTTCGTAACAAAACACATCCTATCTTTTTAATACCATTTTCCAACCAATGGCAAACAGATTTTAAAAGCAAAAGCAAAACATCTCCACGAAAAGCCTGGAGCCAACCTTGATAGGGACCTTGAAAGAATCCATTGTGATTTCAAGCCTGCTACGCCCCTATCGTTTCATAACTCTGCTATCTTGTGGCTGCACATCTCATGATCTGCAACACAGTTACACACAGTTGTTCTTAGTTGCCACAGGCCAGATTATTTTTCAAGGCAACCCTCAATTCTTTCTTGCCCTTTCCTGCCCCTCCCCTGGTCTGGCTTCAACCCAAATGAAGTTTCAATCCAATCCATAAAGTAAATACACTTTCTGCAAAATTGACTCCACAAAAGCAAGAATCGTTTTTACAATAAGCTTAGATTATATGCAACCTAAGGAAACTTTAAGGGACTTTTTTCCAAGAGTCTGTTTTCAAACGAGGAAATAGAACTGACAGTCAATAAGGAATGCCTGGCCCTTTTTTCAGAAGTGATGTAAATAGTGTACAACTGAAATCCACCTTCCAGGTATAAGTATTCTAATTGGAGACTTTCCAATGCAAACAATCGCAAAACAACAATGTGGTTTGTAGAGAAAATGTTTCCGATTATACTGCAACTGGGAAAACTGGATTATCCAGTCATTGAGAAATTTATCTCAACCAAAGCAACAACTTCAGTTTTAGTTCTGTTAATGCCAGAAGTCTTCCGCCTGAGGCTCTTCTGACTAACAGAAATGACATTAAAATGTTCTCTCTTTTTTTACTCGCACTTAAATGTCACAATAACCTTCTTTTAACTTTTAAGCCAGGGTGTTCAGGAGAAATCTAGCATGAGAGCAAAACACTGACCTACCCGTGTTTTCAGAAGCAAAACTAGGTCAGTCTTCTTACATAGCAGAACTTAAGAGCCACAGATTGTTCAAAGGACACAAACCAAGGAAAAGGGGCCAAGTTTTGAGAACAGGAATTAAGAGGTTGTGCACTGTTCTATATTTACTATTATTGCTGGAGCGGGAGGAACTCAACGTCTGGACAGAGAGAGAAGCCGAGTTTTGCAGGGTGGGAAGGCGGCCCAGGAGTCCCAAGGGTCAGTTGCTGCTTCAGGCCACCCAGGGAGGCTTGGCGGCCGGATGAGGGTCCGAAGACCAGCAAGATCTTTATTGTCCGCCTGACTTTAAGATTTTAGCTGGTTTTGTTTTGGGTTTTCTCCCCCCCCCCCCCGTTTTATAGGACACCAACACCCCCCCTCCCCCACACCCCAGAGGCGACTGAGGGGGGGGCAGGCGGGGGCGATGCACTGGCGTCCATAAAGACACGGGGACCCTCCAGGGGACCCTCCCCCTTCTGCAGGGGAGCGGGGGGGGAGGGGAGAAGGGGGGGTCCCCGGGGCTGCCCGCCCCCTCCCACCCGCTGCCTGCGAGGGCTGCACCTCCCCTTGCCAGCTGCCCCCCCCGAGCCTGGCCAGGCCGCCGTAGTGTGGGGGGGAGGGGAGCCCCCCGGCGCCGCTTACCCCCCCAGATGCCCAGCTTGAGCTGGGACTTGTTCAGGTTCTCCACGTAGCAGCCCAGGAAGCGGTTCAGCAGGTCGGCCACCACCGACTCCAGCACCATGGCGAAGGCGGCGGCGGCGGGCCTTCCTTGCAGGGCGGGAGGGAAAGGCCAGCTGGGCGCGCGCCCGAGAAGGCTGAGGGGGGGAGGAGGAGGAGGCGCGCGCCCGTCCGCCACGCCGCTCCGCCCTCAGACGACGGCGGTCCCGCGCATGCGCGCTCGGCCCAACCAGCCGGCTTTCCCTCCCTTTTCTCACCCGCGCTCTCGAGGCGGCGGCGGGGGGGGGAGGAGGAGGAGGAAGGGACCAGCCCGCGCTTTGGCCGAGCGCCTGGAGGGGGGGGTGAGATTCGCGCGATGGGCGTGGCCAGGCTGTCCAGCCCCGCCCAGGCGGCCCCCTATTCGACCGCCGGAGAGCGCGAGGCGGCGCGCGGCCCTCCCCGCGCCCTGATTGGCTTGGGCTCGCTCGCACGTGGCGCCCGGGAGGCGGTTCCGGGAGCCGGCGTGAAACGCGCGTCGTGTGAACCCGCTGACTCGCCCGAAGCCTAAACGGGCTGCGGCTGCCAACGGAGAGGGTGGGGGTGGGGGGACGCGGGAGTTTGGGGGCGGTGAATCAGCCTCGGAAGAGCCCTGGAGGCCGAGGCGGGGATGGCGGCCGCGAAAAGCAGGCGGTCAAGGAGGGAGCCCGACCCGCAAGGCGCAGCGTTCCCACGTGCAGGGCTGCCTCGGTCGGCCTTCCTCTGCGCGGGGGCTGCCCCTGAGCTCCAGTGGCTGCAGCAGAAGCCAAACCAGCCCCGCCCCTCCTGGCACTGCCCACCTGGCCGGGCCGGCCCTCCTGGGCAACCCCCACCCTCCAGCCCCCCCCCACCCCCAGCAGAGCAAGGGGGCCGCCTGTGCCCGGTCCTTTCCCCAAGACCCCGCCGGCCTCCCCAGCTGCAAGGGCCTCGCGCGCCTGGGTGCCGTTTCCAGCGACCTTTGCCCGGCTGGCATGCAGGGGCCGGATGGGGGCAGCGGCTGCCTTGGGTGAATGGGGCGGAGGAGGCCTCCTGTGGAAAGGGAGGAAAACCCATTGACGTCTTCGGGCTATTTTTACTTCACAGCCACTTTGTTTTCAAACGCGGCCAGAGGGGTGTCTTGAATGGCACTGGCATCAGCTGGCATCCGGAGGGTGTTTGGCCATGACACACCTGCGGAGGGAAGATGATAATATTTCAGATGGAGATGCCGCCCCGCTCCCAGTGACTCTGGGCGGGATCCGTCTTTAGGAGAAATGAAGGCAATAAAGAGCTGGGCCCTGCGTTGGTCCTGGGTAGCCCACCCAACCCTGGTCCACACAGAGGAGCAATTCTTCCGTGACGCTTGTGGATGAATCCATCCATCCAGTGGTGGCATCCACATTTTTTTACTACCGGTTCTGTGGGCGTGGCTTGGTGGGCGTGGCAGGGGAAGGATATTGCAAAATCTCCATTCCCACCCCACTCTGGGGCCAGCCAGAGGTGGTATTTGCCAATTCTCTGAACTGCTCAAAATTTCCACTACTGGTTCTCCAGAACCTGCTGGATTTCACCCCTGCGTCCATCCAAAATTCTTTCCTTGTTGGTTATTGTCATCATGTCATTTGCACCTTGGGGCAGACCAGAATTTGCCTAATCGTCGGTGCTGAACAAGCCACCATTGGTGCTGCCCTTCCTAAAGGGCTGGTTTTTGCAGCAGATAACGTACAAATGAAGGACTCCGATGAGACCTTAACTCAAACCATAAAGTTTGGTGGATTGTGGTCTCCTCCTTCAGAGGGAAGGAATGGCCTCCTGGAAGACAAGAATGACGTACACAAATGAACTGGTTGGGCATAGAGAGAGACCGTAGTTTAAAAAGCAAAATGTCTCAGCTGAAGAAGCTGCGTGATGGCTAAACATCTCAGCTGAACGCAGCCCACCAATCTGTAAGAGCTTTCAGCACGCTTTCCTCTTTTTTCCCCAAGTTTTTTTATTTTTTATCAAAATATCAAATCAATGTGTGAACAGTGTGGCACCTGAGTGTCATACATTCTAATACAAATAAAACTAATCAAGTTAATCATAATTTTTACATTCAATACGCTTATATATTTCTAATAATAATGCATACTTATATTAATTTATAGTCTATCATTCAATTATTCCACATTTTCTCTTGTTATTGCTTTCATTTTATGATGTAAAAAGTATACACTAATATTCCCCCTTTTCTTGTTTCTATCACTTATTCTAGCTTTTGATCATATCACCCTTTATTAAGAAACTTTTCCTTTCTTTCATGTCCAACTTCTAATCATGTCACCTACTTAAAAAAAGAAAAAAGGAAAAGGAAGAAGAGAGCGAGAGAGAAAAATAACTCAGAACAGGAAAAAAAATCATCCATCTATCATCTCTTGCCCGCTTCAATACTTTATTTGCTATGCTTTACAAGAAAAATGGGAAAGAAGAGGAGTAAATCAAGACAACAATACAAAAATAAAGAAATCATCTATCCATCGTCCCTTGCCCGCTTCAATACTTTAATTGCTATACTTTTTTTTTTTTTTTGACTTGCCTCCCAAATTCTTCTCTTAAATCTTTACCTACTTCTTGGATGTTTAATCTTTCAGCACGTGCCTAAACATCTGCTGTCCTGGGATATTTGGTTTGGTTCAAGCAATCGCATGTTTTGTGAGCGATAGTAAATATCTAGAATAATTACCTAGACCTTTATGCCCATCAAAATGCACAGAAATCCTAATCATACTGTTTCTCAAGAATGAATCCTTTCTGTTGAAATAATTTGGAATTTCTCCTCTGGAAACCATGAGGAATTTGAACAAATGCCATCCATTTTTAAGGGATGACTCTACTATGGATATTATTTCTGCAGATTTTCTTTCCCTGTCCTTGCTGATGACGCTCGAGAACGTTCTGTTTGTCTTCCTTTCTCTACTTCCCCTGAATGGTGAGTTACCTGGCTTTATCAGTGGCAAATGCAATCAGTCTGTTCGTCCACAGCACAGCACACGGCATCGCATTCCTGTGTGCTACGCTGGGTTGAACAGACTGCTTGTTTCCAGAAAAGCTCGTTTCAGAAACTCAGGAAAAATTGATGTGGCAATTGCTCAAACGGAGAGAGATGAGTGGACATATGTTTTCATTCATGCTATGATGATGCTTGGAGGACTCTTCTCCCCCCCCCTCCCGCTCCCTGAGCTCCTTTCCAGAAGTAATAAACAGGGTTGACTGTTTGAAAGAAATAGAAAGTGCACCACTTGATGCCTTTTGGCAAAGCTGATCTGTTGCTCAATAGCAATAAATTAGGGACAGGTTGGCTCTGGAACTAAATGCAGTTTATGCCCTTCTCCCCCAGAGATAAGTGGAGATTGGTATAATGTGCAAACACAGCCACTGTGGGTTGTAAACCATGATTCATGCTTGATCACACAGTGGTTTATTTGCACGAAGGATAAAATAATTCAAACCGGATCATTTATTAGTTACATTCATCATGTTTCTCCTAATCAGTTGTCTTTGTACAAATGTTCTGGATAGAAATCTCGAGTGTGAAAACGGAAAAGTTCTTTGTGTGTTTACTTTTTTTTCTCTTTTGTTTTCGGTTCATCTTTCTTGCTACTAAGTCTAGTTTTGATCTTTTTCCCCCCTTCAATGTAAAAGCAAATGCACCCCCTCATGGATCTCCACATCACTAAGGTGGAGGGACCGTTTGGGGTCTGGATCCTATTCCTTGTCCAGAATGGTCCCAGAGGGTGGCCATCCATGCTCCTAGCTGCAACTTCTCGCAGCAAGTAAGGGAGACTTCTCCATACTCAGCTTCCTGGGGGAAACAGTTGCAAGTGCTTAGTGCTACCCAAACCATAAGAGCAGTGCTGCCTCCAAAGGAGCAGAATCTTTTAAATCCCCTCCCTCCCTCCCTCCCTCCCTTTCCTATCCAGTGGCCACTCTCCTGCTTCCGCTCTCCTGCTTGCCCACTTGCAGGCTCAGAGGGAGCCACCTCGTGAAATGACGGCTCATTTGTCCAATCTCTGCCTTCCACCTCTGCTCATCCGCAGCAGCCTTTTGCGGGGCCGGAGGATCCCATCCGGCCCCAGTTCTGCGGCTGGAGATGCGAAAGGTCACTCTTGGCAGCTCCATCTGTTCACGGTTCGGTGGCAGGAATTGCTTTGGCTTTCAGAGACGGGAAACATCTGTTTAAACATGCATGTTTTGAAGGGGCTGCCCTGTACGGTAAACATCGCTCGGGAAAAACACTCACAGGCCAGGGCTGGGTGTGAGAAGAAGCGCGCCAGCTCCCCCTCCACCCCCCGGATCACAGATGAGAGCTGCACAGCCAAACACCTCGATGGTTCCTTCGAAGCTGATTAAACCCAGGAAAAATTGCCTCTGATTGCCTCTTCCCACCTGTAAAATGGCTAAGGGGCTTTTTATCTGAGGCTAATGCAGCTATCTTTATAACACCAAGACAAATAAATTGTGGGTTCGAAAACAGGGCAGCGTAGGAAATGAGCTTCCCTGCCAGAAACACAAGCTTGTCAACAAATCTTTCAATTAAATGGCTAATTAAAGCAGGGTTAAGTGTCACTAAATGATTATCATTCAGTGTCAATGTTGAACTAGATAGATTAAGCCTGATTCCCATAATGTACTGGAATAGAATAGAATAACAATTGGAAGGGATCTTGGAGGTCTTCTAGTCCAACCCCCTGCCCAGACAGGAAACCCTACACCACTTCAGACAAATGGTTATCCAACCTCTTCTTAAAAACTTCCAGTGTTGGGGCATTCACAACTTCTGCAGGCGAGTTGTTCCACTTATTAATTGTTCTAACTGTCAGGAAATTTCTCCTTAGTTCTAAATTGCTTCTCTCCTTGATTAGTTTCTACCCATTGCTTCTTGTTCTACCCTCAGGTGCTTTGAAGAATAGTTTGACTCCGTCTTCTGTGTGGCAACCCCTGAGATTTTGGAAGACTGCTATGATGTCACACCTAGTCCTTCTCTTCATCAAACTAGACATACCCAGTTCCTGCAACCGTTCTTCTTATGTTTTAGCCCCCATTCCTCTAGTCATCTTTGTTGCTCTTCTCTGCACTCTTTTCTAGAGTCTCAACATC